ACGAGTTGCAGAGTCCCCGGGACAGGGTCAGGTGTGTGAGCTGGCTCAGAGTCCTTTGTGAACGGCAGGAAAACGAGGCAAGAAGGATGCAACGCTGCACGTTGGCGGCATTCCCCTTCCTCTTTGGACAAGAAACCCGCTTACTGGTTCTCATAATGGCTGGGGCTGATATGTGTATGCTCTTCAGGGTATGGCGTCTTGTCCATGCTTATCTGAAAAGGTTCAGCTCAATCTGAGGGGCGTGTGTGTGCGCACGGGGGGTGATACTCGGACCCGACAGTTTGGAACAGGCTTGCCTGAGTTGGCTTCTTGCAAGGGCCCATGTACTGAATCTGTAAGGTTTACACCACCGCAAGCGGCACGACCACCCATCACCCAGGGTAATATTGCTCAAAGGTTCGCTGCACCGTGGTGTAGTTCCATGCGGTTATTAGGGGCGCAAGGACGTTTCGGACGTATTTCTTTTTGCGAGTCATTAGCGTTGGTCAATGTCGGTTGGCTTGCCAAACCGGGTGGGTGAAATGTGATTGGGGGTTGCTGATTTGGAAGACAAAGCATGTTGTGTTGTCTTTGAAGATGGAGCTTGCTGGCCATGGTGATTGGGATGCAGATGGATCACTGATGTCGGACTTCCCCAGCCACCGGGAGCGCCAAAACTGTGTACTAAGCAGAGGCCTTTGGAGGTCGGCGGTTTGAGGGGCTTGAAGGGCTCGAAATGCTCGTAGAACTCGAAGGATTGTGAGATCCGGCACAGTCAGCAAGGCGGTGGATGGATCCATGCCAGTGATGCGATGAGTCGGAATTCAGACAGCCTCTATGCTACAGAGCTGTAAAGGGGAAAATGCGGACACCGGAGGCTACCGGTACCCAGCTGAACGGTTACTTGTTGAATTGCGGCGAGACGCGATAGGATAGGACGGCGTTAATGATACTTGGCGATCCCGATAATCTCCAGCGACACGCGACACGCGGATAAGAGGCCAGTAAGGTTTGGAGTCGCTCGCGGAGTTGTTGTGGGCGCGAGATTTTGTTGGTCGTGCAGGACGCTATATTTGCTGGAATTGGACGATGTTGGTTGGTCCAAATGAAAGCGTGATTTCTTCTGCTGCGTCGTGTAATTTCCAGGGCCGAGGAAAACGAAATGATTGATAGTACCGTACAGGTAGCCAGCACCTCTAGCGGCACCGTGGTTCAAAAGAAGATGGGGTGACGGGAGGTGGAAAGTGGAAAAATTGAAGAAGCGAGGCAAGTACCAATTCTTCACCTCAACCGACGGCCGCGGGATTGATGAAACTCGACCCCCGTCGGTCATTGCCTGGCTGCCCGTACTGAAAACCCCATGGCTCCTTCCCTGGGCAACTGCCTCTGACGCGACATTGGAGGGATCAGGAAACACACTTGCTGCTTGAATTTGTTTTGGCTTGAGCGCTCCTGCCTTCGGAGTCGGAACGACAATGCATTTGGGCAATGGCACTTGTGGCATTGAATCTCACTGGGCAGGCACCCCCGCTCCCCCTGAACCGGCCTGAGGAGAGGGTGGACGGGAGCAGGGGCAAGGAGTAGAGCGGGAGCTAACGAATAGGGTGGGTAACAAAACATGTACCGTTGATACGCTACATTACCTTACCCGAGTCCTGCCGGCACAGGATCCTTTAAACCCCGTCATTACCAGTGCACCACTCGTACACGACATCCCATGCAAGGTATATATCAGTGAGCATCATACCACGACAGCTACCTAGGTAATAAGCTCCATGACAGACGGGAAATGAGGGCGTCCAGCCCAGAGTGCCGGGACCACCTCGCCAGGTATTCAAATAATGTAAGGTGCCGGTATCAGTTTCTGTCATGATCCTTCTTCGGTGAGCAGGTGGAAACGACCTGGCTACCGTAGAAGGGAGGAGCAAAGACGACCTTGAACAGTGGGTGCGCACGCGTGCCTTCTGACATCAAGTTCAGTTACATCTTTCTCATTTCTAATTTCCTAACGCACTGTCCAACACTCCAATGGATGCCACCTCACACGCACGTGCCCCCTGAGCCTAATGTGTGGTTGTCGTCCCATGAGAAGTGTTACTGCCGAATCAATGGAAAATATGTATCGTGTTTCTAAGGCAGGTTTGCACTGGGATGACCAGTGTTTTCTGCACTCTGATGCACTCTGATGTACACCAGTGTCTGTCTCTACTGCACACTCCTGCAGCGTGCTGAATCGCATTAGCATGGACTTTAATAGGAACAAAGATATCATGACATCCAATTACCGTTGTATCGTGCGTCCCTATTCTGCCTGTCGTGGAAGAAAGGGTAAGGGTGCGGCCGGGTACGTGCTAGGACGAGGATTTTTAACATATTTAACGAAGATAATCCACAACCCCACACCATCCATGGTTTCTTCCCCTTCCTGGAAAGGATCAAGCCGGTGTCTCGCAGCGTCCCAAGCGTTGTCCCAAGCGTCTGCATCACGGTGGCATCTCTCGTCCCACATCGCCCACATCGCCCACATCGCTCACTTGACCCCCCGAAAATACGGACACACACTCTCGCCGGGCCATTGTCCTAGCCCGCCGGCGCCAGGCCACGACCAGGGCGGCCACCGACCAACCAACAGACAACCCCCGTCCCCCAATTCCCAACCACTCGACCAAAGTGATAGCCTGCGAGGCTAGCCGGCATCCTCCAAGAGCTAACCGCACTTCTCGTCGCAAGGCTTTCCCTTTCGCTCGCGCGGTCGTCACGGTACCGTCGTCGACGTCGTCGTCGTTACAAGGCATCTGGGGTTGGCGACCAAGATCCTCGATCATGCTCCATGCTGTCTCCCAACGACCTTGGTCCCTTCAATCCCCCGCCCCGCTGGCCTATGAGACGTCCGTATTGCCGACAGGAGAGAGCTCCGAAAGCGTGCCAGCGCATCGGCCCCAACCGACCATCACTTCAGCTACTGTACGCCAGTGCCGAATGTACACTCGTCATCGCCCAACAAGGTGAATGAGTGCTTTGGAAGGCATCTGAGCAGCGAAGACTCTTTTCTTCTCGGTTTGCTCCGCGGCGCACCGGGCCAGGAGGTAGGCGACCGGCAGAGCTATCCGGGAAACATTGCGCTGTTGGCTGTTTCGTTTTGCTGTCCGTTGTTTCGACCAAGGGCGAGCATCGCTGCTGGCTACATCATACGCCGGCCTAAGAGGCCTTGGCATGGCGTGGTTGCCTTTGTGAAGCTTGAGTTTCGAAGTTCATGTTCAAGGGGGAAGAGGTGATCATCATAGGGTCCCGGCAATGCTGCGAACCATACCTCTAGGCCCACCCTTTTTTTAAAAAAAAAAGCAGAAAGGTCCACGCCTCCGCGGGAGCTCCGCTCGGTTTTGGAATTCTGACTACCGTTCGTGGCTACGTACCACGACACGATAGTACAAATTCTGACGCCCGTCAACGCTACGCTGCCGCTGCTGGCTTGCGCTAGAAAGGTAGAAAACGAGAGCCCCCTGTCTCAGATCTGCATAGGATCGTTGCGACATCGAAGTCGACGACGCGGCCAACAATGGTCCCAAAGGCGCCTCTTTTCCCCTGTCCGCGTTTTGCTCATTTCTTTTCCTGGGTCCAAGAGCCGTTGGCTCCCTACAGGTACGAACTTTACCTGGCACGCCCGGCGAACCCCATAGAGGTAGATCCAAGAGACGCCCTGGGCCCTAACGGCGTGCTTGATGTATTGAGCGCGTACATCCGTTACAGTTACTGTACGGTCACGTATGGCCTGCCACGGTACCGCGCATGTACTGTGTAATTTGGCCCGCACGTACCTCTACATATACATTGCATTACACCTCAACCATCCATTCTGTACCCTAACGCAGAACGCAGGGCAGCGCATCAAGCGACAAAAGCACCTCAACCAAACCACCTCTCCTCTACAACAGTACCGCTTCGATCCAACCTGGAAATCTCAAATTGCCATCCAAACTCAGCCTGTCCATTGACTTATCCTGCATCATTTAACTACCTCATCATACCTCGGTCGTCATCTTTGCTCTGCCGCCAACCGCTGTCCAGCACGTTCCTTTCTCTTCATTTTTCAGTCTCTCTCCCTCTCAACACTCCAGGCGGCTTCATCTCTCTTCTCATCTCACTAATAAGCACCCCAGGCCAAGTAAGTGAGTGTTTCTCACTCTATCGTTTCCGATCCAGTCACTTTCCGTTGTCTCCTTCTCCCTCGCACGTGTCCGTCTCCTCATGCCCTTCCAATCTCTCCATTGTTTTGTTTTTGTAACCCCTGACCCATTTTTGCTCGTCTTTATCCGAGACCACTGCAGGCCCTTCCCCCCCTCTGTCCACCTACCCGGGTCTGGGACCTGGGATCCCCCGACCCTACCTTTCCCTGCCTTGCCCTGCCATACATCACACAGCAGCGCTAGCCTCAGATGGACCAAGTGGCTCTTCTGCGACTATGTTACCTACCCATGGTTGAAGGGTTCCCAAGGATCCGTATGTTTGGACCGTGGTTCTCGGCGACCAGCCTGCCCTCATTCACTCGGGACATACCTTGTCGACCCTACGGTCACATACCGCCCATTGGCCGGTAGGGTACAAGGCAATTGCAGTACTTAACTGCTCAGCTTTGGACTTCGGTCTGTTGCCCAGCCATTCATGATCCCATCAGACAGGTCAACTCCACATAGGCCCGGTCCCCTCTCAGCCCTGTCATCAGACCCGCTCGCTCCTCTAGTTGTGCTACCCTCAGCACTTTCCGGATTACTTCTTATAAGTCGCGAACAAAGCCTTGTTTTAGTTGCGAGGCTCCTTTCTTAATCTACTCTACCCTGTCTTGTCCTGTCTGTCCGTGTTCCCTCTTAAGCTCGAACTACTTGTATTCGTCGTCTGACCACTCAGCAGCCGATAGTCAAACACCACACCTCTTCACGACCTCTTTCCTTCAAAGGAACAACACTTCCTGACGGATCGTCCTGCCCTGCTACGTATAAGAGAACGTGTAGCTCCGCTTGCCATTCATGCCTGCCTCTCATACCTTCGGATCTCCAAACCAGGACAACTACCCGTCTAGCAGAGCAATGGAAGGCCAACATGTGTCCGGGTGAGACCTTCCTTTTCCGAACGTCTTTATACCTGATCTCCAGAAAAGCTAATCGCGCTGCTTCGCATGTAGGGGGTCCAGCTTAGTCCCTGGGTATTTGGAGAATGGAAGGTTGTATGGGGATTACAAGAAAGGGCAATACATGTTCCCTATCGATGAGGTTTGTTTTCCCCGTATTTAGCATCTGGGTCGACAATTCGCGTGATCTTGACAAAATGCTGACATTACATGCAGTTGGAGAAAGACAGACTCGACATGTTTCATCACTTATTTTTGCTCACTCGCAATGGGCAACTATTCTCCGCACCCCTTCCAAATCAGGAAAGCCCGCGGATCCTCGACTTGGGATGTGGAACTGGAATATGGGCAATTGATATGCAAGAGTAAGTAAATGGCTACTATGATGATACACTGGTCACTAACCTGTAGTGTCTTGTAGCCGATATCCAGTCTATGGTAGAGTTGTTGGTGTGGATCTTGCTCTTATCCAGCCAGAATAGTAAGTGACAACGCCGGATTTTATTTTCTTAGTGAAACCTGCGCTAACTTTCCGCTTATTCAGTATCCCGGAGCATCTCCAGTTCGATAAAATGGACATTGAAGAGCCATGGTTAACCAAGATCGGAGGTACCTTTGACCTAATTCACCTACGCACACTCAATGGTAGCATCTCCGACTGGCCATTTGTATATGACCAGATTTACAAGTCAGTCCTACAAGTACTTTTTTTTACAGCTGTATCCACTCTCTGACCGGCTCACAGGCACCTGAAGCCCCATTACGGCTTTGTTGAGCAAGTAGAATTCGACTGGATCCCACGCAGTGACGATATGAGTCTACCCCAGAATTCTTATTTCCTACGATGGGCCCAAGAACTCATGCGGGCGATGGATACAGTTGGGCGTCCTATGAGATTGAACAGCCTTCTCATCAAGCAGCGAATGAGACAGGCTGGACTGGAGGATCCTCAAGAGCAGGTTATCAAGGTTCCTATCAATGGATGGCCAGAGGATGCTCATGACCGCGAGATTGGGCGATGGTTCAACCTTGGTCTCACCCAAGGGCTAGAGGCTCTCACCTTGGGTCCCTTCACCCGGGTGCTCGGGTATAGCGCAGACGACGCAAAGGATCTGATCGGCCGGGTGAAGGAGGAGATTCGGTCGCGGAAAATACATGCGTATTGCACACTGTGAGTACCGACGCAAATGCACGCTGCCGCTCGGCAGAGGCACAATTGCGTTGCTCAGACTAGCTAACTCGAATAGGCACACTTTCACGGCGAGGAGACCGGCATAAAGCCACTTTGGCGGGTTTCGTCCGACAGGCTATAATCGAGTTTTTGCGTTTCATGCAACGGTACATACAATGGTTTCAACAGCAGCGGAGTTCGTGTCGACGGCGTTAAGGGAAGTCATCGTTGGGTTTCTCCTTTTGTGGTCCTGGCCATTAGGCCTTTCTCACCCCATGCACGTGTCAGATATCCCTCTAACATTATCCAAACTGAAGTCGAAAATGTATATATGGGTTCTTATTTTCTCATCATACACCAGTGTTTCATTCCCTTTCTCAATTTTTAACTGACCCCCACGACCCTCCTGTCAGTGACCCCCACTTATTGGTTGTAATGGTCACTCAAAAAGTTCAATAACCCTCATTCTCCATCGACTCTTGGTTCCAGCTTGTTCGCCTTTACTAAGGGATAAATTTCATATGACCCAACAGACTGATTAAAGGATCACTCGAGCAACGCTTGCAATACCCGAACGATGCGCAGGAGTAACTTGTGTGGGGTTTCACGACATCACAACGGGCTGTGAGCCGGGGTTTGTTTTTTCCCTTGCAAGACAGTTTGCTCTTTCTTGAATTGTCTTTGGGTGTTTGCGTTGCACTTTGAGAGTTCAGTTACCTGGAGGAAGGAAGGGTCGAATTCCGAGTAGCACCTTCTGTTATTAGATGTTGGATTTTTACAAGTGGGTATCATTTGAGAGAGTGTCTTGGGAAGGCGCATCGGAGATTGGACCCCGCCAATACATTCCATCTTCCACTCACTACTTCCATTCCGTGCGCAAGATGAAAGGGGTACAAAAGGGAAAGAACATTAAGTAGAGGGTGAGACTGGGACTGGTCATGGGGCTGCGATCTCGACGTGAAGTTACAACTGAACAAGGTTGACCAAAATTCCAACCAGCTCAATAAATTTCGGATTCATCTTCTACTGTGATAACCCCAATGAGGCCGGCATGAAATCACTTTCCGGAACCGAGCACTGACTGCGTTCATTCATACATACTTACCCGGTGAGTAGCCCGACCTCCAATCCGGCCACCCGGCCACCCGGCCACCCGGCATCATCCAACCCGCAGCCGGCCTGGGCAGAATACGACGACGCAATACAACCATTTCCGGGACCCGGGACCCTTAACCGGCGCTGCCGAATGACCAGGGTTCTACACTATACTACAACTACAATAAAGCAACAACCATGCCCAGTTCAACTTCTTCCGCGTCTGTTTTGCGCGCTTGAGTTTAACGATCATGGGACTTGGCGAGTATGTATGTCGGTAGGTATGTACTGTGGACTCGAGCATTACCCTGCTTGTACCGGTACTTCTACGTTGTTATGTCACTCCACCCAGAACCATCCATCTATATCCGTCACTCACTCGCTATCACTCCCTAAACAAGACAAGCTTCCATCAACATGCAGCCTCCTCCTTCAGGCCAGAGAGAGATCTGCAGGATTCGGACGGAATATGGCTTCTCCTGTTTCCGGACGGCAAGGCTAACATTCTTTGGGGCAACCGACGAACGGACCTCACCATAACAGCAGCCAGTATTATAGGCAAAGGCTACCTAGCTCTCCTTACAGCCTCGGACTTCTTCTGCCTAGAATCATGGGAACCAGGGGGACTATATGAGATATCAGTCTCGGACTATGGACTTGTAAGTCATTTCATTGGTGATTCGTTCTTCCTTCCACTACAACTCCCCGGGCTAGCAAGGTATCCAGGCTCGAGCCGGGCTCCATACCAGACCCGAACCCCTACCCTACCCCCAGGCGGGCACTAGTTAAGTGAGTTTCACTCTTCTAGAACCAGGAGCCACTCCCACAAGCCTGCGAGGTGGACGATCAAATGGAAGCCACAAGAAGGAGCCCTGCTGTGCCTGTCCCAAGCCAATAGTTCGCATTTACACTAGCATGTGAAACCCTGGACAACAACTGACAAAACCGTCAGCAAGGCAGAACACCACGAACTAGGAGCGGAAACCTTGTCAGAAGCGTGGCTACCCTTCTTTATTGTCCATCCTTCTCTACACAGATTTCGGCATTGCCAAACATGGACACATAAACATGGGGGAAAATAAACCTGGCCAAGACCGACGGCGTCGAAGAAGTACGAACACGTGTGTCGTGTTGTCGAGGTTCTAATCTTCTGGCGGCTCTTGCGGCTTGCGGCCTTGCGAAAAAAAAAAAAATGTGTTCGCCGACAGACATACCTCAAGAGGCACTTGGCCGAGCGATCAAGCACACCGTGACGGCTTAACTGCCGCCGCTTCCAACACGTCAATGCGGATGCTTACAGATGTTAGTTACTCTTTTTCTTTGCTGGCTTGCTGTTGATACAGTTGATGTTTGAAGTGTAATAAACTGTCTTGATGCTACCTGCCTACATTGGTTGTCTAGAAGAAGTCTAGAACCGATAGAGAAACTTACGAGTGTTCGTTATGAAACGGAGCAGTAATAACAGTACGTGTATGCACTGAGTATGGCATGGTGACCGCTTGACATTGACCGCCTTGGCTGGCCTTGTTTACTTGTAAGTAGGTACTAGCTGAGTGTCCGTCACATCCGTCGTCACCACCTATCCATCCACCCTACCTACTTAGACTACTGCAGGGAGTCCAGATGCAGTTTCGGTTTTCTGCTTAGGTCTTGGCCTGGCTGAGATGGAAAAGAACGACCGTAATGGGCAGCCACCCCAATTTAGTTCGGAATGTAACCAAAGCAAGTAATAGTGTCGTGGCGGGCAAGAGAGGCTCAGACATCGCCGAACACTTCCAAGTGTTCCCCGGTCTCCGGCCGAGTATCGGTCGGTCCGTGGAATTTGTCACGGCCGCGGGGGGCCGCATCTATCCAGCCTTGGCTGAAAGTCAGCATCCATTGACAACCCAACAGAGGTTGCTCGCAGTACAGGCAAGCCTCGTTACATTCAGTTGAAAAAAATCTCCAACTCACCCAATGTCCTCTTGTTGACGACACTACCCTCTCCAGCCATAACCAACAGCAGATAAACATGATGGCCTCACAGAAGCCCCTTTCGACGCCTCTGTACATCTATCTCTCTAACCAGTCTTATGTGAGCCAAGTTAACAGAACTCCAAGGTAAGGTAAGTAACTCAGAACCATGATCATCAATGAATGACAGACAAAACTCTCATTCCATCTCGTCATAGATCACCATCATCACCTTTGCCTGCTGCCCGACCTCAGTCAGATAGCTCATCATCATCATCATCATCATCTTTCGCTCAGTACCTTAGATTTCCCGTCCACGTCGATGTGATTTCCTCGCCCGCGCGCATACAAATGCAAGCACCTTACCTCTCTTCACCTCTTCGCTTCGCCCTTTTCGGCCCCTTTCTAGTTGAAACAATTTTGCTGGCCAAAGGAAGCGTGACACGTTTACAACAAACAAGCTGGGAGGGGAGGGGGATATGGAAAATGGAGTGATAATCATGAAGTATCGAGGGGACAACGGAGCCGAAACCGGGTCGAACCGAACCGAACCATACCGAACCATACCGAACCGAACGCGAACCGGGTCAGTCGAAAAGAACAGGGAATGAAATGAAGGGTGGAGGGAGGTTAGGCTGGAACCAGAAAGAACTGGGACAGAAAACAAGGACCGACCGGACAACACATCAATCCATCACAGCCGGGCGGTCGGTCGGCTGAAGGACCCCGGAGCCAGCCCGGCCCAGCCCGGCCCAGCCCAGCCCAGCCTAGCCCAGTCCGGTCCAGTTTCGGTTTCGTGTAAGGAAGTAAGTAAACCCGCCCAAGCCCAAGCCCATTAGGAAGGGATATATGGAGATGAAAGGGTGGGAAATAAGCCAGCCACGTCGACATAAAACACGTCCAGTCTCTGGAAACAGAACCTGGAACACAACGAATAGCAGTGGGAACTGACAGGCACCCGAGCAACACATTAACCACAGTCAGATCGGACAGTCGGCTGAGCGGCTGGAGGCAGCCCGGCCTGGTTCGGTTTGAGGTGGAAACGAGCCAGCCACGTCGACGGACAAGGTTTTGGAGAAAGTCATCAGGTTCATTAGAGGGCTGGTAAAACGCTCTCCGGGCTGGGATGAAACATGACGAAAGTCGTCACTCAGTGACCGCGGGCCGCACAAGGATCGACCGACTGACCGACTGACCAGCCTTCCAACATCATCAGCCATCATCAACCATACAATCACCAGGAAGGGAGGGGTGCGTGTGAGACACCTAAAAGCCACCTGGCCACGTCGACAGTTTCGGGTTTGAAATGGGTGAAGGAGTCATGGAGTATGGAGGGACATGGTAGAATTGGGAAGAAGTGTTGTCGTGGCGTTAGGCAGCGGGCGTGATGAAAAGCACTTGCATGGCAGAGTCGCGATGGGTGATGTGATGAGGTCGACAATTAAGGCCAACAGAGTCAAAAGTTGAAAGAGGCGGTCAGGGGTGTAGGGTCGGTCGGAGACCATGGTCACCAAGATCACCGTGGGAATACGCGAACATGGGGAAAACCCCAATGCCGGCCACATCGAGAGACCCGGCCGGGTCGGCCAAACGAGGGTCCCGAACCGAGCGAACTTTGTGAACGAAGAGATTAAATGGATGGACGAATGCAAAGAAACAGCATCCCATTTTGGGTAGATCACGAGAATGAGACAGGCTGGCCACATGTGTAGTAAGTAGGCTGTAAGGTCTAAGAAAAATGGTTTCATCTCAACATCTTTCTCAATTTCAACCTCCTTTTGTGTGGCCTCTCCGTCTTGGCTCTACTCTCTCTTTCGCGTAATAGCAGCTAAAATGTCTAGGAAGCAAGCATATGTTATACAATCGACAGAAAGTGAAAAGGAAAAAGGAAGTTTAACAAACCGGCTGGGGACCAAGCCAATCTCCTGGGACAAATATACAATAGGGGAAAATAGAATTGGTAAGTGATAAAAGGGATTCCAGCTGGGGAGAAATGGGCTGACAAAGAGACGAGATAAGCGAAACCGGACCGGAAGAGAGGGTTGCGATACCTTCGCATCTTCCTGCAATTTTGGGATGACCGTCGCTCCCCTGCCTCACTCTTTTTCTTTGCGAACGAGCTCTAGCAACTCGACCTCCGTCAGCTAAAGGGTGCAACTTCTGCGCTACTCGAGTAGGAGATCTGTTGCATTGCCGGGGTCAGTTTCCAACGGCGGTTCCCGGTTGTCCACAGCTCACACACCCAACGTTTGCTGCTGCGCAGTCACTTGTGTGAGTTTTGAAACGTATTTGGTGAGTTCGGTGAGAGCCAGAGAGAGCCGAACCAAGGAAGAAAAGGGGAGGAGGCGGCGAGAGGGATAGAACGGCAGAGAAAGAAGTCGGGCCAAAAATCTAAACGAGCAAGAAAAAAACAAGTGATCCCCGTTACGCCTTATGATTCTATTCCATGAAATCATTTCCCGTTCTTGTCTCTCTCTCTCTTCGCGCGGTATTCTGTCCCGTCCGTTCCCCCCAAAACTGGATTCCCTTTTTTCACCACTCTTTCTGACACACACGCACATGTACACACGCACACGTTTCGCACACGCGCACACACCTGCACACACAACCCTTTGCTGTCGGATATCAAGTAAGGCCTCTTTCCCATTTCTCGCGCGCGTGGGCCATTGGTGACTGAGGTTCGACCCAACACTCTAGTCTCTCGGGTTGACGTTCATTAAGCGGTGGTAGTTAATGATCGAGGAAGGTGAGAGTCCGTTTAGTGGGCGGCGGCGTGGGTGTGGCCGTGGTAGCCGATGAGCTTGAGGCGGCCGATCATCTCGCCAACGGTGAAGAAACCGAGGCACTCAGCGAGGAGGACACCAGCAGCGGCGACCTGTGTCCTAGAGATGTTGCGGACGTTCTGGAGGGGAGCACCGGCCTTGGAGAAGAAAGAGCCGGACTGGACGGACTTCACGAAGTTCTGGAAGTAGGTCTGGAAGGTGGAGACGGAGCTATATGATGAAGAAGAGGCATGTCAATAACCTAAAGGTTTCCAAGCATAGGTAGACAGGAAGCATCGGGAAGGAACATACGGAGGAGTCATGCTCTGGCCCCTGAAGACGATGCGGCCAAGCTCAGCAGCGACCTTGCTGTAGTAGATGACGAAGGGGGTCTGGCCTGTTGATGGGGGATAGGGAGGTCAGCCATTGAAGTGCCATTGGACGGTGTCACCCGGACGGGGTGACGCGGAAGGGGATGCGGGAGGGGGCCGTACGCTCAACGAAGGCAATGAGCTTGCCGGTACGGCCACCGACGCGGCCGAGGGTGCTGGAGAGGCCCTTGGCGTATTTGGCGAGAGCAGGGCCGGCGGCGGAGCTGACGCGGGAGAGACCCTCGGAAGCCTTGGTCGAGATCTCGGAGGCCTTAGCACCAGCCTGCTTAGCAGCCTCGGTAGCCTTCTGGGAGGTGGTAGACTCAAAGCGGACCGCGCGGCGGCCAAAGGTGAGGGCCGAGCGCCGGGAAACAAGGGCGAATGACATATTTGCGGATCGGATGAAGAAGACGACTGGCGAATTGGTCGGTGCAAGAGGGGGCCGGGCGGTCGGGGTCGCTGGCGGATATGCGGGGGAGGAAGGGGCCGGAGAAAGGATGTGGTGATGTCGGAGGAGAAAGTGAAGCCTTTGCCTGTGCAGGGGAGTGGAGAGAGTGAGGCGCACCGAGTGTGGTCGGGTGGTGTCCGGCTTGGTTCCGTGCTCGTTGTAGAGGGATATTGCGCAAACCTGCACACAGCCAAGGGCGAGCGGGAATTGCGGGTCGGGAAAAATTGGATGAAGCTCGGAAGACCTGCCAAGGCAAGTTTCGGTAAGCCATTGAGGCCAAGACGGCGCCCAGTTTGTCGGGTTAGGGTAAGGGTTATGCCACGGGGAGTCTGCCAGGGGCAGATGGTGTGCAAACAGGGGAGCCCTAGTTCCAGGCGCCATGACTTCATTGAAGAACGCCGTGGATTTCCATTCATCCCGTCTTTCTCTTATCGATAACGCAAAATGCAGTATCCGCATATGCCATCTTAACTTGTTGTCAAGAAAGGACATGCATTGAAGAAGGGGATCAAAACGTTCACTTTGACATCTCCAATTCGAAATCACCATGACGCGATGCAAGATATAAACTCAATTGCGATCCAGAAAAAAAATCAATTCGACAAATAACGCTAAACGCCTAACCCATGAACACTTTTCTTCTATTACACATGATACACCACCGCAACCCATTTACTCTAGACTCTGGATCTGCACCTTGATGGCGCCCGTCTTGGGATCCGAGGCCGTCTCGAACGCCTTGAGCGCATCCTCCAGCGGGAAACGGTGCGTCACCAGCCTGGTGAGGTCAACGAGGCCATTCTCGACCAGACGGATGGCTCTGGGCCAAGTGTTGCAGTAACGGTACTGAAACTGCAGGTCGACCTCGCGCACACTGGCGCGCATGAAGGGAATCTGGATCTCGTTCTTGCCCACGCCGATGACGAACACCTTACCGCCGAACTTGACGGCCCAGATAGCAGCCGCGATACTGCTCTCGACACCAGTGCACTCTAGAGCCACCGCAGGCTCGATCCCGCCAAAGCTCTCCACGATCTTCTTGGCCGACTCCTCAGCCGAAAGGCGCTCGACCTTGTGGGTGATGACCTCGGGGCAGATCTCCTTGGCGAACTTCAAGCGACCCTCGTCAATGTCGGTGATGACAAGAGGGCAGGCACCGGCGGCCTTGGCGCAGAGCATGGTGATCAGACCGATGGGACCGGCACCGCAGATGAGAACGGGGTCGCCTAGACGAACACTGGCTCTATGAAGACCGGCCAGCGCCACGGAAAGGGGCTCAAGCATGGCACCGTTCTCGTAGGACATGTTACCGATCTTGTGGCACCACACGGCAGGGTGGTTAACGTAGCGGCGGAGAAGGCCGGGCACGGGGGGTGTAGAGAGGAAGTCGACGCGCTCGCATCCGTTGTAACGGCCAGTCAGGCAAGGTTCGCAGGCGTTGCAGATGACTTGGGGCTCAATGGCAACCCTGTCGCCGACCTTGATGTTCTTGACGCTGGGGTGGACAGCAATGACCTCGCCCGCGGACTCGTGGCCCAGGACGTGGTCGCATTCGACGATCATGGGGCCGATGCAACCATGCTTCCAGAAGTGGACGTCGGACCTGTGATGATGAAGAGACACAAATTTGTCAGCTGCCGTCCTCATTTCTCAACAACATAACCAACTGGTAGGGGTTGGTTAGGTACTTACCCGCAAATTCCTGTGCTCCTGACGTAGATAGTGACTTCGCCCTCCTTCAGCTCCTCGCCCTTCTGGACACTCTCGAGGGAAGGAGAGGCCTCGCTGATCCACAGATCATGCTGAGGGTTGGTGAAAACGCCAATGTTGGCCTTGGAAGCGGTGGAAGCCATTGTGATTGGAATAAGCCCGAGGGGAATGTGTCTGAAGCTGTCAAAGAGTGTCGAGAAGTGTCACAACTGAAGTGAAGCTCGAGAGAAGAGTAGAGAGTGTGGGGTAGCGCGGGGTGAGAGGCGCAACTCCCTCTTTATACGCACGCACATCAGGCACAGGGAGCTAGGTACTGGCCGCCTCCTACCCGCTCTCCGCTCTCCCGGCCTGCCTCCATCCCGCGTAAACAAAAGTGCTGTGGAAGGGTGGGTTATCCTGAGCTCCGATTCGAGGCTTCGTTTATCTGGTAGATCTGGCGAGGGTCATGTGGATGAAGATAAAATTTGAGCGCCAGGAACCAAAGTCGTTCCAGCCCAGCCCAGGCTTTGAACCAGCCGTGGCGGTTGGTGATGGTTATAAACGCCCAAATGATGTCGCTGTTCAATGTCGCGATGGAGTCGACAGACATCCACTTGGACCCCGTATCGAGTTTAGGTCGGGTTCTGACTGTGTCCGCTGCGAGGTCTCCACTTTGAAAACAGGCACTTCGGGACTTGTTCACCTCGCCTTCAAGACTGCCGCAACATTTCACCTCTAGGAATTAGAGAGCTTTCTCTGATCCAAACAGGCGGGGGCTCACCAATCTTCTCAGATGGCCATGTCTCCAAATCTAAACCAACATCCGCTGCTCCGAAAAAGTGTTGGAGACAATGGACGTGAGCAACGTTCCATGTAAAGCTTGCGATGTCATGGGCGGGATGTGGGGTACTTTTCCCGCCTTTGACATTGAAGCTGGGAACCGGGAAAGAGCAGACCGAGCAGAACCCCACATGCATCGATGCGCACCAATGGGAAAGAGTCCATTCTTCGGGTTGAAGTTTTAACCCCGTGGGGTAGTCTCCACCACATTTCTTCAATTCGATATCATCCGTCACCTTCTCCTCCGCACCAAAACTCTCTCAATTGATGGTGAGGGCTCCTGGTGAGAAAGCACCATTTTCGATAAATTATTTAGACTGAAATTCCAAACGAGAGAACCTGAAATACGTGGCCAAGTCTCCCTTCTTTCTTGTGATACGGCGTTCACTAAAAAGATATGCAGCCACAGCACCTTTAACCCCCTTAGATGATGCCCCAATCTTGCTGCGTCGTTCCTGCCCTATGGTAGCTGATGGAAGATGGAAGGAATGTAGGTGGCTGCTCAGAGATATCTTCATGAAACAGAGGATCAAAGAAGAAAGAACCTCCTATGCTCCTACCATAACCGCCATCGGCTTGTTCCGTCTTCCCCTCACCAGTCAAGTTCCCGCCGACTTGCAGAATAATAAAGTGGGTCGATATAGCCTTCTCCGACTTCCGTCCACACTTCTTCCAGTAGCATTGGCCGCCTTTTTCTTCCCGGTCAACGTCTTCTCATATGAATTCATCTGCAGCCGATTAGAGATGCACCGATATACGGCCAAATGCCCCACGAATCATGCACCGGCTGCCGTCCCATCTGGTTCGCTCCAACCTGGAAACTCCAACATGCGAACCTGAAATGCCGCTGATCTTATCTCGTTCCTGCGCCTACCGTGCATCTCCCGCCTCTGCTTAACCATAAAATCCAGCATTGAGCCGGCATCCGATATGCACAACATGGCGCGGGGTCGCAATTGCTCAACAACACCACGGATGGGTGCCGTTCGGCTACGGCGTAACCAAGGGACTAGAAGACCAGGACACAAATGCGGCAGGATCCTCGATGGCGAGACCGGTGATCATCTTGGACAGTGGTGACCTCGGGACAGTGTATGCGGTATGCCCTCAAAAGCAGACGCGGGAAAACGCAGAAGGGGCTGGATGATGGCGGCCAACAAGGAGCAGCTGCACCAACTGGTATAACCGAGTTGCTCTTAGCAGGTACCCGTCTGTCGTCCGTGGGAGAATATCTGAGGTACGTATGACACCATGGACCGAGTTTGAACATATAAAAAATATAAGGTAATTCCTAATGCCTGGTTCCTGCGTCCCCATTCCATGTGGCTGCATCCTACAACTTGTCAATCTTACCTTGTGAACTTACAACAAAGGATTGCACCATGAGGTTGCTCTCCGTCCTGTCAGCCGTGTCCGTAACGGCAGGCCTAGGATACGCCGAGACCTTGAAGCCTCAGACACTTCTTCAGGATATCGTCACCTTCGATAACTCGTCACTCTTCATCAATGGCGAGCGGCTCATGATCTTTAGCGGCGAGGTCCATCCCTTCCGTTTGCCTGTTCCATCGCTATGGCTGGACATCTTCCAGAAGGTCAAGGCTCTCGGTCTCAATACTGTCTCTTTCTATCTCGACTGGGCATTACTCGAAGGAGAACCGGGAGTCTTGCGCGGTGAAGGCATCTTTGACTATTCAACCTTTTTTTGAGGCGGCCAAAGAGGCGGACATCTACCTAATCGCAAGACCTGGACCCTACATCAGTAAGTTCTTTCCCACATGGAAACACCCCAAACGCAGCCTGTTAACAAGGCTGCAGATGCCGAGGCGTCCGGCGGCGGCTTCCCAGGTTGGCTCCAGAGAATCAAGGGACACCTAAGGACCGCAGACCCAGAATTCCTGAGTGCTACCGATAAGTGAGTGGGGAGCTTCAAGAATCAAACCCGTTCCCTACATGGCCTGAACTGACAAAATCAAAGCTATATCGCCAACATCGACAAGCTCATAGCCAAGTACCAGATTACCAACGGTGGCCCCATTATCCTCTACCAGCCCGAGAACGAGTATACCGGTGCAGCTGCAGGAATCAAATTCCCTGACCCTGATTACATGCAATATGTGATTGACCAGGCACGAGATGCTGGTATCGTGCTCCCTATGATGAGTAACGATGCTTCATGGAAGGGTGGTCACAACCTTCCTTGCTCAGGAAAAGGAGAGGTTGATATTTACGGTATGTAGGATCTTGACAAGATTTCAAGACATACGCTTAGCTTACAATGTGCTTAGGGCACGATGGGTATCCATTGGGTTTCGACTGCAAGAATCCCACAACATGGCCTCTGGGTGGTTTGATAACGCAGTACCGTACCCAGCACCTGAATTTTAGTGCTTCTACTCCGTACACTGTACCGGAGTTTCAGGTACGCTTTTCAACATGGTCTCAGAGGACAACACAAACAAGACTAATCGTTAAACAGGGAGGCAGTTTTGATCCATGGGGCGGATATGGCTTTGACCAGTGCGGGCAACTCATTAATCATGAGCAAGTCCGTGTCTTTTACAAGAACATGTTTGCTTCTGGCGTCACCATCTTTAACCTTTATATGGTATGCCACTCCCCAAGAACCGTCTCAAAGTTCCAAGGCTAACCCCTACAGATCTTCGGAGGCACCAACTGGGGTAACTTGGGACATCCGGGCGGCTACACCTCATACGACTATGCTGCTGCCATAGCCGAGGACCGTACCGTTTCTCGCGAGAAGTATTCGGAGTTGAAATTGGAAGCCAGCTTCCTCAAGGTTTCACCTGGATATCTCACAGCTACACCCGACATCAGCAACAAGACGGGCGTGTATAGCCCTAACATAGACATTACTGTGACTTCCCTCGTCAACTATACACCCAAGGGAGGCTCGTTCTACGTTGTTCGACACACTGATTACCAGACACTTGCTTCAACCCCATACACACTCTCGCTGCCGACCTCAGCTGGGAACCTGAGCATTCCCATCCTTGGTAGTTCCCTCACACTAGGCAGGCGAGACAGCAAAGTTCACGTAACGGATTATCCCGTCGGCGACCACAAGTTGATCTACTCGACAGCTGAGATCTTCACTTGGCAGAAGTTCAGCGATAGAACGGTATTGGTCGTGTATGGTGGTGAAGGCGAAACCCATGAGCTGGCAATTGCCGACGTATTCAAGTGGAAGTCGACAGGTCCACCAGTACAGGTGAAGACGGTCAAGAAGGATGCGAGGAAATCGTTCACCGCCGTGCAGTGGAAGACGAACTCAGAGAGGAGGATCTTCAAGGCAGGAAATCTGCACATCTACCTTCTTGGTTGGTTCCACCTAAACCCCGATCTTTCGAAGTGTCTCATTGCTGACAGATAACCAGATCGTAACTCTGCCTACAACTACTGGGCACCCCAAATCGCAGATACATCATCCTCCTTGATTGTTAATGGTGGATATCTCATCAGATCCGCTTCCATCAATGGCGCTTCTCTGTCACTTCAAGCCGATTTCAACACCACAACCACACTCGAACTCATTGGTGTGCCTCGTGGTGTTTCCAAGCTACAAATCAACGGCGAGACTACCAAATATCGAATAGACTCCGAAGGCAACTACATCGTCAAGATCAGCTACAAGGTCCCAACCCTTTTCCTCCCCGACCTTTCCAAGGCCAAATGGTCCTACATCGACTCCCTACCCGAGATCCAACCCGACTACGATGACTCAGCCTGGCCCTCTGCCAACTTGAAATCCACCAATAACACCTACGTCGGGCCCCTCAAGACCCCGGCCTCCCTCTACGCCTCCGACTACGGCTTCCACACAGGTGCCTTGCTCTTCCGTGGTCACTTCACCGCCACCGGTGCCGAAACAAAGCTTTACATCTCCACTATCGGCGGCAGCGCCTTCGGCTCCTCGGTCTGGCTCAACAACTCCTTCGTAGGCAGCTGGCGCGGAAGCGGCGCGGCCTCGGTGCACAACGACACTTACAACCTCCCGTCTCCACTCGTTGCAGGCGAGAATTACGTTTTCACCATGCTGGTCGACAACATGGGTCTGGACGAGGATTGGACAGTCGGCGACGACACCATGAAGCGTCCGCGGGGCATCCTGGACTACTCCCTCTTCACCTCCACCAACATTTCAGTCCCCAAATCCGACATCACCTGGAAACTCACCGGCAACCTAGGCGGCGAACAATACCGCGATAAAGCCCGCGGTCCTCTAAACGAAGGCGGTCTCTACGTCGAGAGACAAGGTTACCACCTGCCTTCACCTCCCGCCTCCGCTTCTTCGTCCAGCTCTATCCCATTCACAGGCATCTCCCAACCAGGCGTAGCCTTCTACACCACCTCATTCCCCCTTTCCCTCCCCTCCTCTGAGTATGACATCCCACTGAGCTTCGTCCTCGACAACCCTACCTCATTCGAGTCAGGAACAGAATACAGAGCCTGGCTGTACGTCAACGGTTTCCAATACGGCCGGTACGTAAGTCATATTGGTCCGCAGACCAGTTTCCCTGTGCCTGAGGGGATATTGAATTATAATGGTGAGAATTGGGTGGGAGTGGTGGTTTGGGCTACGGGGAAGAAGGGGGCGAAGGTGCCGGGGTTGAAGTTGGAGGCCGGGACGCCGGTTAGGACGGGGAGGAAAGAGGTGGAGGTTGTGGATGGGGGTGGTTGGGAAAGAAGGACCGGCGCTTATTGAGATGGTGAGTGATACGTGGAAGAAGTGGTGGTGGTGGTGTTGAGTAAACAGAGTCTATGCTGTGAGTGGGTGAATGGTGCGGTGGTTATTGTTCTCGTTAGCTTCAGTAGGCTCCCATCGTTTGGTTGACTGGTATGTCAACAAATCATTTGAACGATCTGGTTTGTTATCATGTCCAATCTCCTTCGTTAAGTTTTGTATTCATGCTGTATTGCAGACGTGGGTGGGTTCCTATACCTTGAACAGCGACCGTTGGGTAAACCTTGTCATGCCATATCAGTGCAAACACTGGCCATTAAGTAAAAATAAAGGTTCGACATCGACCAAGTAGGTAGCAATGCGAGCGACGTTTCCAGGTCGATTTCCGCGCCGTTTTGAGGCATATAACGATCTTGATATACCTACGTACGTAACCAGGTAGATACGACGGTACAATTTAATTATCTGCCGAGAAAACGTGCCTATTCCTGTTCATTCCCGGCTCAATGTAACCTTGCCATTCAACGCCACCACCCACACAAGACTTCATCTGGATGCTACGGGATGCACTGCGACTTGGAACGACGATGAAAACTTTACCTTAATCTTGCTTTTCGGTCGGTCAGGAACCGACGACGCTTTTGATATTTTGTTTTCTCCCCTTTGAGCGAGCGTGGTGTTTTTTTTTTTTGTTTTTTTTTTGGGGGGGGGAGGGGGGGGGGGGGGGGGGTGTTTGTATAGAACGAACAGGAGTTTTGGTGGACTGTAATTTCCCCCAACTTGAGTGAAGGTTGGTGCTACACATGATATAGAAAGCTTTCTATAGCTGTTATATGTCGTAACGGACTATGACAAGAAGTCTTGATATAGTGCAGGTAAGGCAGGCAGGTAGCTTCATGCTGGTTGAAACTTGGCCATAATGCTATAACGTACTTCAATATTATGGTTAGTTTATTGGCCTTTTTTCTGCTATGATAGTACGGCTTGTTAATGTTCACATAAACTCCGACTGACTGCCTTGGCCATTCACACGTCAGATGGATGAGGAACCAGATGCAATCATGAAAGGGAAGTTTTGTCCGGAACTTACCATACCTGGTGCTGACGAACTTACAGACAGGGATCCCGCTGCCTTCATTAGCCTTGACTAGCCTCGTGTTAACGAGATTGACATGCAAGACATTCAAAACAACAATTCAATGATATCAGGATAGACGAGCAACAAGGCACAAATTTGAGTGTTGTTGACACAATGGTGGTTCAATTTCCTTATCACTTATGTCAGATCATACGATGAATGTATGATGATGTCCTTCGATGGACTACTGGATGAGATCCCACCCGTTCGTTCCTTCCTTTCCTTCCTTTCCTTCCTTCCCAGTGTGGGTGGGTATTTCCCAGTTCCAAATTCCCCTAAATCCGGACCTTCTCTTCCGAAAAGGGAAAAAAAATTCTTGACCGGCGGGACCGGAGAGAATCGAATGGAGGGAAGAAAAGAAGGTAAAAAGAAATAATAATAATCAAAAGACGAATCCCTAACCCCAACGCCAATGTCACCACCAATTTGGGGAATGTGTGTGTAATGTGACAGAAATGCTTTGCTTGCTTGCTACTCCTTGATGCGATGCAAATTCGGTGTTAAGACAGTTGTAAAAAGTGGTATCAAGGAGAAAAAAAAGGTAAAAAGATGAAATGCAAATGAGACCCCTAAAAGCGCCGTTCCCAAATATGCAGTGACCGACCGACCGACCGAACCCCGGGCCCGAACCTGCGACCAGGTTTAAATGCGTGTGAGACAAAGGAAAGAGTGAGTTTTTGTTAACGATAGAGGAGTGTTGTTGTGGTTGATGTTGTGGTTGTTGAAAAAAGTACAGGTTGAATCGCAAGTGACGAAAGTGTTTGTAATTTTAAGACATGGCAGTCTATCCCCAAGCATGTTGCAAGGGGGATGGATGGATGAGAAGTGAAGTATGAAGTGAAAAACCACCCAAGCTTGGTCTACAAGAAAGAGGAGGTGAATTTGGTCGGATAGTGAGGACGAGTGAGAGTGAGAGTGAGATTATCCATCTTCAATCCATATCAAGATCAAAGCACTCTTCCTCATCAGCCATCGGCACGTCCAGCTCAAAGATGACGCCCCTCCTCTTCCAACCGCCTCTCTTGATGAAATCATCAGCGGCAACCAGACCTCGTGGGCGTGCCATTGCTGCTGAGACCTCCTCGGGGCGAGGACGCTGATGACGAGGCTGTGGTGCCGCTGCTAGGCCGGCACAGTAATGCGAGTCTACCGAGTCGCTGCTGGCGCTGCTGAAGCTGCTGCTGAAGCTGTCGGTGCTCGGCGTGGGAGAGGATGGCGTTGCCACGCCTGCTGAAAGGTGATGTGCTGGAGCTGATGGTGGTGTTGGCTTATTATGGTCGAAGCCAAAGTCGAAGCCGTCGTAGATGATGGTTGTTGGCGTGGTTGGTGGTTGGTGATGTACACGTGGCGTCGTCGTGTAGTGAGCACGCTCACTGTGATGAGGTGGCCCGGGCAGACTGCGTGAGGGCCGGACTGGTCGATGGCTTTCAAACTCGTCCTCGCTGATATTCCCCAGAGATGGCCGATGGGTGAAGGTGAGGTCGGGAGGATGGCACCTCAGGGGGTCGAAATCGAGATTCCTCCCGTTGCTGCTGGTGGTGGAGGAGCGGGAATCCATGGATGAAGCGTCGCTTGGTTGTCTGGCGTGTTGAACCTTGCTGGATGAGTGGCCGGACCTTAGGCCTTTATGGCTCCGGAAACTTCGGAGCATCTTTCGGTTTTGTGTGCGATTGTTATGATGGCTGGTGGTTATAGGGATGCAGAGCATAGCCTGATGCGGACTCAGGACAAAATGGCGAGAGACGAATTCGTCGTTATTTGCAATGTCGGTAGTGGTGAAGCGACTGAGCTAGACCCCAGCTACTAGACGAGTCGGTTGGGAACACCGAGGGGAGGGGGAGCGAGGGAGCTTTATTTAGGTGGCAGTGTGGTGTAAGCCAGCAAGCGGGGGAATCCACCGAGATTTAAAGTGGGCATAATCCAGAGACGTGGACGCAACAAAACTCCAGATTGCTTTGCTAGTGTAGTGTCGTGTACCTCCAGGTAGAAAGATTGCCTTGCCACAACCAGGTCGACCAGGAACAGGGCTTTTGGGATTTTCCCTTGGGAGTGAGGGGTGCCACCGTGCCTTTGCAGATCGCGGGCCCCATGACATGGCAAAGTGCTGTCTGTACCTTGCATTTCCGCATGTTCCATTCAGCTGAGCCTGTATTTCAAAGTTAAAGTGGTGTAGGGTACCGTGCTAACATGCATCAATTTTTCTTCTTATCAAAAAAGTCCCAATCGAGCAGTGCACCCCGCGATACGATACCCAGTTGATACCTTGCTGGCGGCCTTCAAATGCCGGATCTGGAAAAGAAAAATAAAGGCATGTGTTGACAGGATACGTCATGATCGGGCATTGCACGAATGCCATCATTGATGCAGTCATAGCGTCCCCTGATCAGTGCAATTGAGCCCCCCTGCTCGTTTCAAATATTCACCTTTCTGACGCAAAAGATCAACTGCTACGCTTGCGGGCCGCTCAGTGGATGACAGGACTACTGGGAAGAACGTTGGTCTGGAGAGATTCGGCTACCTGGAAACGACTATCAGTGTCTGTGATATTCGAGAATCGCAATAGTGTAAACATCTGATGCATCAGAGGCTGTTGTGCACGGTGCATGCTTGTGCCCGTCGATAGTGAACGATGCAACTTCACAAGGGAAGAATTCCACTTGGCAGGGCATCGTCGCTCGGTATCGGGTATACCATGTCATTTCAACTTACACACTCTCCCGTATATCGGCGAGATCGGATCTCGCGCACTCGGCATGGCCTGAGCCTCGCGACTTACAACCAAGGTTGGTGACATTAAAAGAATTTTCTTTCTCCATTTCCATCAGCTGTTCCCTCTTTTTGGCTCCCTTCCAAGCCTTTCTCTCTTCATAAGCCCATCATGACAAATGTCCCACCAGTTCATATCCACCAAGCCACGGCCCAAGACGTCCAAAAGAACATATCTCTCCGGCTTACACGGGCAGGGGGTGGCAACCTCAGGACAAAAGCTCCATAACAACACCCTCATTTTCGATCGTTGGAAGCCAGGCAGCCAATCTCCAAGCTCGAACGCATCGCCATCTGCACGAAATTCCAAGTTGCTTAGTCCGTTCGCCGCTGGGCGATGATCCGGGACCCGAGTAGCAGGAAAGCAGCAGGCATTTACGGCAACAAACTGTACCGGGAACGTCCAAGCTCGGCCTGCACGGCATTGCAAAAAGCGTGGAAAGCATGGGAACATGGGGAAAACAAAAACTCAAATCTGCTCTGCAGCTTCTGATTGGTCGGATAGGAATTGGACAAGATTCAAGCCAAGCCTTATTCCAAGGACACACAGGCGAGACACACAGGTACACAGGTACACCACAAACTTGCAAGGCTGTGATTCCTGTGATTCCTGTGATTCCGAGCAGCTTCGGGGTGGGTGTTGTTGCACGCCATCATCCACACCGGTGGGTTGTGGTCACTGGTGCGTGTGTGATGAGAATTGTATGACCTGATGACTGAGAGAAATGTGCACTAACCTTTTTGGACATATAGCCTAGCGTATGAGTAAATGTTTAGCGAACGCCTCACTGAAGCTCGATCCAGGTGAGAATTATTGACCGGCTATGGTATGGGCGTCCTTACCATTTGCTATCTCGGGGACTATAAGACGGCAAACCCTCAAGATGCCGTGCCGGATGTGCAGAGGTCCGGAGGATTGTATGTGCGTGTCGCACAGTCAAACGGTCGTTTCGCGATCGCAGAAAACAGTCCCCCCAGAGATGCAAACCAACCAAACAAACATCCCCCAAGCTTCCCGATCCCGAAAGCATGGTCCAACATGGGTTGTTCCAAAATCCCAAGATCCTTTATCGGCCGGAGGTTTTCTTCCTATCATGTGTCTTGCAGGATAGGAGACCGGACGGACAGAAAGTCTCGCTAGACAATTATCTGATCGGGTTAGCACGATCTCGTTCAAAGACCCGCAAGTTCAAGAATCGCGGAGACATGCAGTATCGATCTCAATTCACAGCTTCAGCTTGCTCAGGTACCAGCTCCAGCAGCTTCAAAACCCCTGCCTCTCCCCATCAAAACCCTCATTTTAAACCTCGGTTTAGCCCCATCTACAGATCTCTACGGAGCCCGCAATCTCACACAAGAGTGCGTGCTGTAGAGTGCGCGTCCCCGAAAATCGCAATCGCCCTGTTACTGCGTAAAAGCTGGCAAAATCATGATCGGTCAACTCAATCGATCTATTTCAAGTCGGAGGAAAGCTTATCGTGATTCCCTGCGAACATCGAGCTGTGTCGTGATTTCGTGGGATTTGACCTTTCCCTAAATGCGACGTTTGGCGATGTATGATGCGATGCTCACTGCAGTCTCGCTCGCCCCCCGTCCTCAATCCCATCCGGAGTTTATTTGACGCTTTGGTAACCAGTCAAGCTGAATGGACCTGAGCCGGGACCCGGACGGAGTCTTTTTCCTCACTTTTACAAAATGTTGTCAAGTGCTGATCTCCGAAAGCTGTTGGTTGTTGCATGTTGTGTTTGGAGTCTCGAACTCCCACATCCCAATACAGAAAATCCCCTATGTTATCATAGCTGTGGGGAGAGCATCTCCACTTGTTTGTAATTGGTGGGGTCCAGAGGCTTGTACCTACTCTGCGTAAACCTTATCACTCCGTTCAGGGTCTGGGTGCTCTTGTTTCTCACTCGCAACAACACCACAACCTTCAATGCATCGTCCGAAGTGCCCGATGGGGAAATGGTCAATGCATGTCTAAGCCCTCCCGAGGAGAGTCTGTGAGTGAGCTCCTGCGAGTCAAACCTGTGACACCACTGCACAGATCTAGCACAAAAGGCGTCTCACTGCGCGGGGGCTTCGGGACTGCTATAAATGGTGTTAGTGCAGCCACTATCTTGAAGGGATGATGGCACACGCCGCACATACATTTGTACACCTCTACGTAAGCGTTCAGTATAGCGTGTATCGAAAATTCTCTATGATGGTGAGACACAAAAGAAGGTGTAACCGGTTATCGGCAGACCCTTGCCACTTTACCTCAATGAAGAGTCCGTCCACAGCCGCGAATCCCGGGGCGCGACGCAAAGAGTTTTTCACAAGGTTCCGTTGTGTCGGCTTACCACAGGGATGACGGCTTCCAGGACGCCGGGACGCCGGGGGCGGCGGGGGCATCAAACATCGTTGATGGTAACGGACGGAACTTGCCTATTTGGGCATTTCTTGTCGTCAGACACTCTGCGTCTCAGCTTCTTTCCATTTATTTCCCGTAATGTTCCAGATCGAGATGTTTCCGGCTTGTTAGGTTGTCAAAATCCGTCTCTGTACGCGCCGAGGCGACTTGATAGACGGGATAAAATGTCAAAAGGCGTTGATGTACGTCAAAGGTGAACCTCAGCCACCTGATCGGCAACCAATGGGCGTTGCGAATCCCCCATCCTTCCTTTTCGATCTTTGAATACGGGCAAATTGTCCAAGTTTTATAAGACCGCCCGAGGTCCCAGCTTCAGGTGTTGATGATCAATGACGCCCATGACGATATGGCGAGTACGGCCATGCATAGGAGATGAAGTACTGTAGTGTGTGTATGGCCTGCGCACGTCAGACATGTGTCAGGTCCTGCTTTATTCTTGAACCTCTTTTCGGTATGATCATCTTCTGAAACGAGACCGAATGCGAGAACTGGAAATGTGATGTTGTGCATTTCGTAGTGTAGTCGGCATGCTTTTGCAGGATTACCATCTGCAGGGAAAAGCAATTTTCGACATTCTTTTCTCAAAGGAGCAACGACCGTGCCGCACAAGGTGCCTTTTTTGGAGTGCAAGGTCTGTCCCATTCGCCATGCGGCAGTTTAGCAAACATCAAACAAAAAAATGTCAGTATTTGGTCCTATCCCTTCAGCTGAAGGATATCCTCCCTCCCTTTGCGCCCCTTTTGGACATATACCCACGCCCAATCGCACAGATATCTGCTGCCGGTGTCTTAGTCGCAGCCTTTCTGTTTCTGAGTCACCCGTCGGTGGCTCAACCGGGGTAAGGTAATGTGTGTGTGCACCGGCATCATGTCACGCGGCTGACAAGAACGCCGCAAGTTCCGCTACTAGTTCAGGTACCCGTCACGGCAACCAACCAGTCAAATTCCCCGTTCCCACAAATCCGTGCTATCGGTAGCCAACCTGGTGACCTCCCTCAAGCCTCCCTTGAACCGTGCTGCCGTAAATGCCATAGCGTACCTGCTTCCTCCATTGGCGGAGACACTAGGCTGAGGTGTGCTACCTCGGCCTTACTGGGAATTCCTGGAACAGAAACAGTTCGCCGCCGTGTCCTATTCAGAGACTCTTCGGTGGTTAGGACCCGAACCCGTCAGCCCGTATAGGAAATGTCGTGCCTCTCAGTCATATTTCTCCCTTTCCATAGACTCGAACGATATACGGCTCAGCCTCGACACCTGATCGCAGTTTGAGCCAATCGCAACCGCCAGGCCCTTGGAAGGGCTACGGCCAATGGATGAATGTTTCTCGACCGTTGCCGAGTGCGGAAGTTCAAAGACGTTCGTTTTTCTCCCTGTTGTTCGCAAAATGCCCATTTTATTGCCTGATACCGACATGACATTCGAGGTGACCGGAGTTGTTGTAGTTTTGCCTGTCAAGTTGTGCGCACAATGTCTTCAAAGCAGACCATCGGACTCTCCCTTCAGGCGTTCGACACGCTTCTGTTCCCAGTTGTCGAGGTCCTTCGCCGCCAGTCTCTGTAGCTCGTGTGTCAGCAGAGCTATGATTAGATATGCCATTGCCCGTTTCCTGGGCCATCAGATGTTCTTTGTCAACTCACGTAATATTCCTCGCGAATGTCCACCTTGCGCCTGTTCTGACCCAAACCCAATTGCTCTTGTTGCGACACCTGTCGGACCTTCCGGTCGTACTTCTCGTAGCGGATAGCGGCGGCAGGGGTAAGGATGAAGGATCCGGCAACAACGACCGACATGAAGGGAAGACCGAAGAGAAGGAAGGGGTGTTTTTTCATCATTGCGCGGTACTTGGCGGCGAAGGTGTTGGTGTTCGCCTTCGACGGGAACTTGTTGCTCTGGAAAGTCATCTTGTCGAAGATGCCTTGCGGAAATCCGTGGTCGGGTAAGAAGCTATTCGGTATATGATATGATCGCGCAGTGGATGGTGACTAGGTCGAGATACAAGGTTGCCGGGGAACGTCACGATTCAACAAGCATTCGATGTCAGGAGTCGAAGCAGCATTGACGGATTGATGGATGCGACAACCGGAGCATGCAAAAGCTCAGGTGGGGCCCACATGCCAAGCAACGTGGGTGCGGATGCGATCATCTTGGAGGGTTAGGGTTTCTCTTATGTCCCCTGATATCGACGACGACAGTCGCAAGAGAGCGTAGATAGGACTTCATCTCCAAAGCTTTTGACAGAAATTGACAGGTAGAACCACCTGCACGGGCTCGTTGGGCTTGAATTTCAGACTTCACGGTTTCCCAAGGTAACAAGATGCATTGAGGTCAGAAAGGAAATCGAACTTACATGCTTTCGGAGAGAATAGCAAAAGATATAATCAGAAACACTCAAGTTACAAAGTCTGGCGGTCCTTTAGATAAATTACTATAGGCAATGAGAAGCGTTGGATGCTTTGGTGTATTATGGACGGGCCAATGGAGCGATGGAAGCAAATGGATAGCCGTCATATCACAACAGGTTTCCCACGATGCGGAATATCGAGCGCAGCGAGAACCTTTAAAGAGTGTCACCAGTGGCAGGAAAAACATCAGTGGTAGGAAGAAGGAAAGAAACAGTGTTAGGTGCATAGGCTTGATAGCGCTGTCAGTCACGGCTTCGAAAAATTTGGGATAGTGCATGCGTGTCCAAATGCAGCGAGTGGGAGGTTTAATCTTGTCGGCGGTGGCAGGGTACATTACAATTTCTTGAACCATCTCAAGGTCTGGAAGTACCATGGGAATAGGTGTGATAGAAAGCGAGATCGTAGTCTGAGTCGGTCGGCGCTGCAAACATCGTGCACATCACCCCTTCACTCCTTCCATGTCCCGTCTCCCACCCCCGTATCGCAACAACCAACCCCGTTTTAAAACTCCAAAACAGCAAAGAAAAATAAAGAACGATCATTTCCAGTATGCTTGATACCTTCTCTATCAAATAAAAAAGCAAAAAAAGCTAAGTCGCCCGTGGAATGCTTGTCGAACTAAAAACAATCCGCCAGCTGCGAAACTTTACGAAAACTGTCGCGCAGTTTTCATCAACGATAACCACTGCGCCTGAAGACTATATAGATCTTACTAGATAGGTACAGGATGCCCCGTTGTGGTAGAGGGGTCAGCTAACGACCCTTATATGGTGCCTGCCACTGGTGCCTGCTGCTTGGGCCACTCTGGGAAGGTGCGCGGGGCGGGAAGGAGGGGGTCATATCATTCGATGTTCTGTCATTGGGAAGGTGCGTGCCGGGCGGGTAGTGGCGGAAGGTACGGTGGCCAGAATGATGGCAGAGGCGATGGCAGGAACGGCGGTGGTCTGTCAGTCAAGTTCAGTTCAGTTCTGCTGCACAATCAAACGTGGTAGAATGAGAGTTTAGAGTGTGAAGCTTGACGACGAAGTTCCACTATCACTATAAACCCATATCGGAAACAATGTCGTTTCGCTAGCACGTTTTTACATTAGTGATGCTTGCGTGAGACCACTAGAGAATCAAAACAAGCGAGTCCTCTTATGGAAATGTCACACATTTTGATGCTGCGGGACGAACTACGTTGGACTCCACAAGATGATGGTGGTGACGAGGTTGCTCAACAAAACAAATGGTGTCAGGGAAACTTTAGACGGAAGAAAAGAAATATCAATACAGCACGAGTATTGGCGTCTTGATGCAAGCATAGATGTATTAGCATGATGTTCAGGCGCGCAAAATTTTGTAAAGATATCACCCATCAAGGCGTTCCGTCGTTACGGGCTGCAAGTGTTGTGAAGACATAACATTGTGTGAAAAACCAGCTATAGACCAGTTATGAAAAATGGAACACCGACCATGGTATGTCAATGCTTTAGAGGTATAGTGGGGACAGAAATGAGATAAGTATCTGAATATACGCGCTATATCCAAGCAACCAGGAGTTCTTGAGTGATATGGCAAAGCCAGCTTCGCATGGTATACTCCTTGGACACTTGTAGTCAACGGAAGACACTCACACCCTACAGATCTAGAAGAGAACTTGCAGTCGCAGCAATATGCCTATTTCGAATAGGACTAGCCTCCGGTTAAATCGGATAAAATGGCATCCAGTTGGAACACAATCCCTTGATACCTAACCTACCATGTGAGCACATCAGAATAGGTAGTGTCTACCTGACCAGCTGGACAACCAGCTTCACTTGTCCCTTTCCTCGCTCTTATAAGCTCAAAGACACTAACACACCCTTCATACCAGTAGTCAACAACACTCAATCACAAACCTTTAACACCGCAGACTCTCAAGATGGAATCCCTCTTCCTCCGCACCGCTCCCCCCTTAGGCCCAGCATGGCTCGCCTTCGAAGAACAGTCCGGCCTCAACAACCCACGCCAGGAGCTCCCCATAGCCGAGCACCAAACTGCCTACGCAGCAGCATGCCGCTCACTGAACGCCAAGATGTTGGCCCCCGGGGCTCGGGATCACCATCTCTCCCTAAACGTCACCAAGACCGAGCTCACCGTCCCATCGACACTCGCCTCGCCATCCGGCGATGAAGCAAACCGTTACCAAATTCCAGTGATACGTTATCAGCATGCCACTGCTTCCTCGGCGGGCGAAAGCGCCGCAGCGGGTTCCCAAGCCGAGGAGAAGCAACCGGATGTCAGTCCTTTACATTCACGGTGGCGGACTGTATGTAGGCGAAGCAGACAACGAGGAACTCTCCAGTCTTCGGATTTTAAAGGCCACATCCGGTATTAAAGAAGAAGTCCAATGACACCAAGCTCATCCTCCCCTGATCAAAGAAGTCTTCTCACTCACCTACCGTCTCATGCCCACTCATTCTGCCCAAGACAGCTTATCACTGTCTGTCCGTTCTCAACTACATCCTCAACCAACACAGGTCGAACAGCACAAAGAACAAACTCATCCTAGCAGGGAGTTCCTCTGGCGGCCAACTCGCCGCCCTCCTCTCACAAAACCCCACCACCCTCGGCACAATCCACGGCGTCCTCCTCCGCTGTCCCGTAACCAGCGACGCCTTCAACGGCCTAGACCCTTACGTCCCATTGCGTTTTCGACACCTGCACACCAGCGCCTGGGATCCTTCCTTCTGGAACTCGCTGCTAGGCCAGATGAAGCGGGCGGTGCCATGGGACGGGCTGGAGAGGATGCCGCTCGAGGCGGACGAGGAGACGTTGAAGGAACTGCCGAGGACGTGGATCCAACTGTGCACGAACGACAGTCTGTACTCGGATGGGCTCTGCTATGCGAAAATGTTGGAGGAGGCCGGGGTCGAGGTGAAGGTCGATGTGGTGAGGGGGTGGCCGCATACGTTTTGGTTGAAGGCGCCGGAGTTGGAGAGGGCGTTGGAGGTGGAGGAGGAGATGGTTAGGGGGCTTGGGTGGCTGCTTGGCTGATGGACTAGAGGGGAACAAGGGGAGGGGGTGATGGGATTAGTCCTTGGGTCCCGGGATGTAAGTGAGTGTGAGTGAGCTAGAAAAGTTCGTCAGGTATTGTAACAGCTGTCACAGATCAGTAGTGTGAGAGATAGCGAGAGGATGCGATTAAATCCGTGATTCCTTGGCGCATTCCTGCTATCTACAATGCTAGAGTACATAAACGAAAGGAAGCGTTGACTGAGCCGTAGTCGCCATTTATAGCACGGAGAGATCGCCGAAACGCTCCTGTTGTTGTGGTCAGTATGTGCATCATCCACTACCACCCAAGCCGCAGTTTCGGGACATAAACATACCTTGTAGCCAGGAACGGACCAGCGGCCCTTGGAGACGAGCTTGGAGGTCTTCTCATCGATGGAAGGCTCGGCAGCGGCAACCTCGTCCTGTAGTTCGCAAATTCGATGATCAGCATCATGGCCCAGTCCCAGCACTCCATGCGCCCTTGTAGTCCTCGTCCACCATCTAGACGCCCAGAACATACCACAGTAAGCTCGTCGAAGGGACGGGCAGTCTCGATGTTCTTGAGAGTCTTCTCGAGATCCTGGAGCTCAAGGTCGACCTTGGTCTTGGTGGCCTCGGCGTTCTTGATGGCCTCAACCTCGAAGGCCTCGATGGCCTTGAGCTGGCGGTTCACGTCATAGGTGGCGGGCTTGAAAGAGGTGAAGCGCTTCTCGATCTCGTTGACGACGGCCTGGTTCTTGAGGATGCTGCGGTAGGCGGCGAAGTCGATGGTGGTGGGGAGCTCGGAAAGCTGCTGGAGCTTGCGGCGGGCGTCGTCGTTGCGCTTCTTGAAAGCCTGGAGGCTGGCCGCGGTCTGGCCACGGAGGCCGAGGGAGGTGGTGATCTTGGCCCAGTCGACCTTGAGAGCTGCGTTCCGCTGTTTTTAGAGGACAGACAAAATTAGCTCAGAGTTCAACTTCGCAGCATCATGACGACCCAAGCCGACAGAGCTTGGACGGCGCAATTGACGGCGACGAAATTGAGCCACCCATGAATGGCAAACGGTCGCACGGCCAGAGTCTCCCCACTAACGGATTGCACTTACTGCGGCCATTTTTGCGGTGGTTCTGAGGTGGTCAGGGAGTGGAGGTCAATCGCTGCCAGTGTCGTTGCTTGCACTCGGCAAAGTTGAAGCAGGCCTGTGAGCCGCCCGCCGGGCGATCGCAAACCTGTCACGTGACCCCACCAGCGGGACAATCGGGTCACGGCGAGATGTTCTTTACGATTTTAGGTTCTGAGCCAATGCAATCATATTGACCATTTTTTTGAGAAAATGGAAGCCAGGGCTGTTCAGCCGGTGGTTAATTTCAATATTTATGAGAGAAATGGCAGTTCCGCTTGGGAGCCCTTGTTTCCCAGCCTTCTATAAGGTTTGTCGATCTACACGGGAGGTACCGGAAGGCCTCAAGTCAAAGCACAGCACATCTGGAACCCTTCACGACGTTCCTCACGGACAATTTCTCGGCCACCCCATGGACCAAATTTCACATTTGATCATGAGGTCTACAACACGAAACGAAGCTGTTTCAACTTTCCGCAGAACTTCATATCACGGCATGATGGACCAGAACACCTTTCACATCCACCGTTGTCAAAGAGGTGTAGAAGCTGTCCTAAACTTGTGGACACATAGCAAACTCAACGAATGGTTCGCTAGGCTGGCCAGAACGAGACGCGCAAGAGTCAATGGCAAGAGATGTAATGAGAACCTATTGGTGGCGGGTTGGTGGGTCAAGCGGTATATTTTGAGGTCATTCAACGGCTCCTAACGACAACTTAGATGCTCAACGCCATGATGGAGTTGACAATATCGTTGTCGTTCTCTTTGAGAGCCTTGATGGCCTTCTTGCGGGAGACGTTGGCCTGGGTCATGACAAGCTCGATGTCCTTGTCCTCGATACCCTCGGCATCGACTTCCTCACCATCATCCTCCTCCTCCTCCTCCTTGGCCTTGCCCTCCTCCTCGTGCTCGTGGCTGTGGCCGGCGTGGTCGTGCTCAGCGGACTGGCTGGCGAGCTGCTGGGCAGCGGCGGCCTGGGCGGAGGCGTTAAGGTCCTCAATCTTGGCCTCACCGAAGACGCTGTCCTGAGTGTTAGTATCTGAACGGCGAGGTAACCAAGGAAGCTCCGCGACGGTAGCTGACGGGCAAGCTCACATGTAGGTGTTGCTGTTGGGGGACTTGTAGACCTCGGGGTTGTTGATGACGAAGAGGATCTGGTCGTCTGTTAGCTACGGTAGTTCCCCACCAAAAAGGGAGCTCCAAGCTTCCGCCTCGAAACAAAGCTGTCCAATCGCGGGGCTGCCCACGACGGCAGCAGTGGTCCGACAGCAGTCGCTCTTCCAATGTTCCCAACTCACGTTCTTGGGGCGGCGGAGAGTGACGCGGGTGATGCCGGGGACGGGCTGGAGGTGCAGCTTCGCGATAGCCTGGCGAGCCTTCTTCTCGTTGCGGGAGTGGATCACGGCCTGGGAGCCAGCGGGAAGGCTGGAGTCGCCAGCCTCGATATCGGACTCGTCATCGCTGGAGTTGTCGAGATCCTCGACCTGGGTCTTCTTAACCTCCTCCTCGGGGAGCTCCTCAACTCTGGGATCGGCCATTTTGATAGCTAGTGGCGGATTGACTGGTCAGCTCTTTAGCCCCGCACACAACCGCGCACACACAACATCGCTCAAATGCGTCCCCTTTTGCGCTCGTTCGGAGCTGCAAAAATGGCAATATCGTGCCTGGGCGACGGCCCCGAGCAAAGGGCGGGTACCACGAGTGCGCATCTCCTCGTCGTACTCACATTGTTGGGAAAATACCGCTAAAGTCTGATATGCGGGGTTGTGAAGGGGTCGCAGGCGTGGTGGGAAAGAAAAAGTTCGGGATCCAAAATTCACCAAAAGTGCGTGCACGCCCCGGCCCCGGTGTGTGATCACTCAACCGGGCACGGCAGCCACTGCCCAGCTTACCCAAAAGCCTCCTTTGGCCAATACCCCTCGGTAGCCCTAACCGTCTTGTTAGGCCAATTTGGACTCGACAAGATTGTGGAGCCACATATGCGCATAGTGAGGGGCCTTGATGAAAACGGTCCACATACATCTTGAACGACATTGTGCGTCCAAGTTGTTTACATGGAGATCTTACATGTTCTGTCAAATAGGCAAATTATGAGATCTTGGTCCTGCATTGCTTTGCTTTCAAAGTTGAGCCATGTTGAACAATCACCAATTTGGGCATTCCTGTCTGAACCTACCGAGCGTAACTTGCCTTCTCTATATTGTCTTGGCAGGGGCTATCACCAGTGAGGTCATCTTCAAGATCTACTCACAGGGTAGAGTGTGGTGCAAGTTGGATTGCTCAAACTGCCGAGTCACTTTCACGACTCTCACCGGGATTGCCGAAGGACGCCAGTTCGGCATGTTCTTGTACAGCCCAACTGTTGTGGGCAGTTTCATGCCACGATTCCTCCTTAAGTAGCAACGGACATGGGATACCAGGCGTCAATGATACTTGACTCTCATCGTATTCTCCAGCCTATGTTCATGAGGATCTCGGAACGTCAACATACCGCTTCACACGCGGACAGCGTGCCACACCCCAGAGCCCAGCCGAAGAGGAACCAAACCGTGGCCATGGAAGTTGCCATATCCCTTGTCTATCCATGCCATCCGCTTCTGCTGCCACGAGTCGCCGTCCAACCGCGTTGACGCGTAGTCAAGCCAATGCCATTACTTCACACCAGATCCCTAGTCACCGGAGCAAATGTCACGATCTGGTCTTCCCTGTCTGGAGCACGGATTTGTTCATCACAGCTTGCTTTGATTGATTCCAGCACCTCAGATAAACCCGAGAAATGGTGGTTGTTGGGGGATAGACCTTGGGGTCATTTTTGGCTTAATTCGCATTTTCCCTATGACGCCGCGAGCCACCCTGATGATGTGACAAAAGAGGTCTTCCGAGAGCGACGCAGAGAGGTATCCCAGCAACCCTGATGCTGATGTTGTTCATGCAGACCGTTTCGAAAAACCCTCCACCCAAGAACCATGCCGACCAAACGCTCCCATCTCTAATCGTCCCAAATCATTTAAGCAGAGGCCTTGATCTTGGCGAGAGCCTTGCGCTCCTCGAAGCGGCGCTGCTTCTTGAGGCGCATAACCTTGAAGCGGTCGAAGTCGGTGAGGGCCTTGCGGCGCTCCTGCTGGAGCTGCTTCTTGGCCCAGTTGCTCTCCTTCCACTTGGCATCGATGCCAGCGGCCTCCCAAGCCTTCTTGACGGCACCGGTGCGGGCACCACGGGGAAGCTTCTCGACGACGAGGGGGGTGAGAAGGGTTCTGGGCAGGGAAACGACGCCACGGGGGGCGGCGAGCTTGGGGTCGGACGAGGGGCCATCGACAAGGACCTGTGTATCGCGAAAAATGATCGTTTAGTTTCCTGTCCTCGCGTCTTGAATTTCAAATCGGTGGTTTCCACGCTCGGTTCAAACATACGCGCTTGTGGTCGACGATCTCGACGATGGTCGCGAGGCTGCCGGTCTCGAGCTTGAGGACACGGCCAACCTCAACGAGGCGCCAGGCGCTGGAACCGATCTGGATATCCGCCATTTTTCTTGTCGGTCTGAGTTGGGTTTGCTGGGTCAGCGACAAATCGGGAATCGGGGGAAAAGTGCGGATTGTCGCAAATTTCAGGAGAGAAGCCAAAAACGCCGTGGGATATGCTAGAGGCTTAGGGGGTTCGATATGCGTACCTTTGATGCTGGTTACGAGGCCGTCAAAGAGTCCAAGTCATCCACCTTGCATCGATATCCAGACCAATTTTTGTGTGCGCTCCGGTAATTGGCAGGGCTAGGCGAAAAGTTGCGGCCACAAATTATTCCGCCTCCGTGGCTTAGCTCGCAAGGTGCCTGGCGCATGGGTGTCAGCCACGACTAGCGCGGGGTTATCCCGGCTAATGCTTCAAAGTGGGCCTTATCGATAACGGTCAGCCACTGCAGTGGAAATTATCGCGGCCTCGACCACTCACCTTCCGTCATCAACATCGTTAAATCGAAGGTCTCGACGCAACCTTGATGTTCAACAAGCAAAGCAAGGTGCACAGCGACACCATCGGCAACATTTCTCATAGACCCGTCTGCACACACATGCCCTGGCGATCAGGGTTACTTCCTTTGTGTTTACCAAGCACTTTCATCTTTTCGTTCCAGATTCACTTCTTGACTTGGAACTAAGGCAGTACAGAACGGTCCATCATCAGGCGTGAGTCCCGTTCAGGTGTGGACTCTGCTGACATCACGGAAGCCCAAAGCCAGCATGGAACCTGATATCAAGTTAGAATTCTTCCAGTTATGAAGTGGTCACATCGTAAGTCTCACCACCGCACAATACGTTTTCAGATATCTTTCGGGCCTTTTGGTGAAGCGGCTGTTCAGTTCGTTCCCTTCTGGACCACGCTCATCCACAAGAAGCCTACCTTTCATGCCCAACGTTGGCCAAAATTCCAAGCTGCCAGTCCACCTTTCCGTGCTTTGCCTTGATTTCCTTCCCAAATCAAAGGTGTATGGCTAGGGGACATGATGCCTTCATTGGCAGATGCTTAAAGAAGCAAGTGAAGTTGAACACCATGACATGACAATTGCGCATGTGAATGGCACGGATGATGACCGAAGGTCGGATTGTGGCTGGTTAGGTCGACAATAAGCTTTTGATGGATCCACTGCACTAACAGCCGCAACGATCCGTTTCCGCGGCCGATGAATTCTCAAAACCATGTGCAACACGCAACGAAGTCATGGTGGCATCACAGCCATCGTTTCTGCGAATGAGTCCCCCATTCCCAATTCGCTGTTCACGTATCGAATGATAAAATACCGGACCAGCCGCCAGAACGCTCTCCAAAACAAACGAGGGAAAGGTGATTGGTGAAGCAGCATGGACACAAGCCTGTTCTGTCACTTTGACAGCGCGGCTCTGGGGATCTGCGGAAGCATCATCACCCCCACCCTTGATAACTCAACGTGGGGAACGTACGAGATGTTTGTTTCAAGCAGCTGTCGGCCCGAACAACCTTGCTTTTATACAGCTTGACCGTCCAGACCTCGGACTCTACTTCGTTCATCTCTCAACTGACATTGCTCTCCTCATCTGAGCCACTCCAACGTACGAAACAGGCTTAAGCTAAGCCTACGTTGACGCTTTTTCTCCGCCACCCACATTCACCACTTGCGCAGATTGCTGCACAGACAGTTCAACCATCATGGCACAGCCGCTGGCCATTACAGCAGCCGACACCGAATTTTGCGAGGCGACACCAGAACAGCGAGAGCTGGCATGGAAGCTCAACGGCGTTGCTTGGGCCCGACCCGTGTCCATTGAAACCTACGTTGCCCGGGAAATCCACCTTTCGGAACAGGAGCTTACCAAGGATGGGAATTGCAAGTACTGGGTGCTGTACCTGAAGGGATATCCACGGCAGATCATCGCAAGTTGCGAAACCACCAGGAAAGAGGTCTTGATCTCAGAAAACGGCGTTTCGCGGGGTGGCTACGGCTACGGCATTGCCAGTGTGTACACCAACCCAGACTACCGCCGCCAGGGCATGGCTGCAACCCTGCTCCGCCACGTGCAAGAGGCTATGGATCGTGACAGCGATCTCAGCGTCTTGTACAGCGACATTGGCCGGCAGTACTATTCGAACCTGGGCTGGCATGTATTCCCCAGCGAGGAAGTCACTCTTACCTACATTCCGCCTACCTCGACTAGTAGCAACGAGACACCTGCCCTCCAACACACGCAGCCCGAGAGCATACGGTACTTGCGCATCGAGGAACTGCGCAATCTTTGTGACGTGGATAAGCGTCACCTCTGCGCTCGCTTCAGTCAAATTCCGGCCGACGGAGCAAGTCATGTCGCATTCATGCCCAGCTTCGCTCAGATGTCGTGGCAGATAGCGCGGGCTGAGTTCGTCGCTGGAAAGCTGTTGAACGGAAAGTCGCCAGAGAACCGTGGAGCCATTACTAGCAGCGGCCGGGCTTGGATCTACTGGGACCACGACTGGAAGTCAAAGAAGCTGAAGGTTCTAAAGGTTGTCACAGTGATGGAGTCGTCACCGCAACAGCGCATCAATGACATCAGGGTCCTTGTGGAAGCCGCACTGGTCGAGGCGACTACGTGGGGGTCTGGGGACCGTGTTGTTGTGGAACCCAGATGAGGAGACGACGCTGGGCTGCAAGGCCGTGGGAGATGTGCATCCCCACGATATTGATGTCGTGTTCGACGAAAGGATTGATGACAGTATCCCATCTTTACGGTGGGCTGGCGGGAAACGCAAGGAGACGGTGTGGGAAGACAACTATTATTATTGCTGGTGCTGAAGTCAGTTGGCCTGCTTCGCCGTGGCTCGGCCCTCTTATGTTCTTTCGCAACTTTTCTTCGGTTTCAATCAGCTATGGTTTAGAGATGACAGAGATCGGATGATACAGGCCCTGGCATAACCTAGATGTTAGACGAGTGAAACGTTTGGACGATCCCGCTCTGATTGAATATAGAACACATACGGTGAACTGGTGACAAGACATTGGGTCCATTCAGGTGAGATTTTCAAGCTTGGTTCAAGCCTGTTGTAGCTTAATCGAAACGACGATTCGGCTATTTGAAGAGACGCTTCCCCTTGCGATGACCAAAATTGAAAAAAAAAAAGGTTCAAGAGTGCAAATGAACCTAAGTTTAAAACCCTAACGTGAAATTGAATTGATGTTGAAACTGCCCGCGATCTGGGCATCTTCGAGATTCCATCTGGCCGTTGAGGTACCGCACGATGTGGGGCTGCGTTACATGGGGCTGAACGAGCGGCAGGGATCCGAGCGGTCAAAACGAGACCACGACAAGTCACCCCATGGAGTGTGTTTATCCGAGGACCATCATTTTCCGTTTTGCGCTAGGCTTTCGCGGACAAGGGACCAGTTCCCTTTTGGAAAACCCCCCTCTCCCCCATCCTGGAACCTGCTGCATCTCCTTCAACGAGAAAAAACCAGCAGCATGTCAGCACAACCTCGACGCATCATTTCATCCACAGTCTAACGGCCAGCTAGACCATGCTACCCGAACTCCATCTCTGATAAGAGATTCAATCCCAACACCTCCATTGTCCCTGAAGCGAACCAGCGCACCCGCGTCGAAATGCGAACATGTCCCTTCGATCGCTGAACACGACGGCAGCCGCTGCGGCTAGCCGAGACCGCTCGCAATCGCTGCTCTCTCCTTCCGATTACGATGCCGATGCTATCTCCATCCGGAGCGAACAGGACACCGACAGTGAAGATGACGAACGCCAGCTCCGTGCGCGCAACAGCCGCGAGCTTCTAGCCCATGACCGCCTCGTATTAATGGAGGAGGAAGAGCTGGAACAGATGGTAACCGAAACGCGGCGGAAACAAGAGTTGGAGCGCACTGTCTCTAACCTGCCAATCCCTGGTCCCCTACGAATGCTTGCGCGTCGCATGAGCGATGTTTCGCCGTCACGATCGAGAAGCTCCTCTAGCGCGCCGGGAGCGTCAACGGATGATCTGGTGGCCGAGAAGCGAAATAAACGGCGACAACGGAGACAAGCCAAGAGGGACAGGTTGCTGGCCGAGGCACAGCACGGGGAGGATGGCGAATTGATGTACGAGATGGAGGAAGGGGGCATGAAAGACGGAAGTTCCACGGGCGACAGCAGCGATCGCGAAGACAGCGACGATGTCGACCGAAGAGGCCTGCTGTATTTTGCGGATGCCAAGGCCAGACGCAAGCGTGATTGGTGCCGATGGATACTCATATACGCCATGATAATCGTCGCCTTTGCCATCCTGTTTTTGACAGCCTGGAAACTGTCACTGAAAACGAAGCGGGGAAATGCCATCTCAAGTCGGCCCCTAGTGAGCAATGGCACTGCCATGTTTGCGCCTACTACCATCATCTTCAGTTTGGATGGATTCAGAGCTGATTTTCTCAATCAAGGACTAACACCAAGACTCAGTTCTTTCATCAAAGAGGGCGTGTCGCCACTGTACATGCTGCCCTCTTTCCCTAGCGTCACCTTTCCCAACCATTACACGCTTGCAACAGGCCTGTATCCCGAAGCTCATGGAGTTGTCGGCAACACCTTCTGGGATCCTACACTCAAAGAAGAGTTCTACTACACGGATCCAGCGCGCAGTTTGGATCCGAAGTGGTGGCGCGGAGAGCCCTTTTGGGTCTCAGCTCAGAAACAGGGACTCAAGACGGCCATCCACATGTGGCCAGGGAGCGAAGCCCATGTTTTGGATATCGAGCCTACGTATATGGACAGGTATAATGGAAAGGAGAAGCTCGGAAACAAAGTCGACCGAATCCTGGGCTTTTTGGACATGCCAGATGATCAACGGCCACAAGTCATCGCGGCCTATGTGCCAAATGTTGACTTTGACGGCCACAAATATGGCCCGAACAGCACCGAGATTCGATCTACAATTGGAAAGGTGGATCGGATGATGGACAAGATCTTTAAGGGGCTCGAGGAGCGGCATTTGACCAACATTGTCAACGTTATTGTGGTCTCGGATCACGGCATGGCAACTACTGATATATCCCGGCTTGTCCAACTTGAGGACCTGGTCGACCTCAGCAAGATCGAGCACACAGACGGCTGGCCGCTGGTGGGACTGAGACCCAAGAACCCCGATGACCTTCAGGGTATTTACACCGACCTGGTTGAAAGGACCAGAACTAATCCAAACCTCGAAGTTTATTTGCGCGATGTCAACATGCCGGAGAGGTATCATTTCTCGAACAATGAGCGAATCGCGCCGCTCTGGATCGTACCCAAAGCTGGTTGGGCTTTGGTCAACATGAAGGAGATGAATCTGAAGGAGGCACAGGCGCAGGGAGCCGTGTACCACCCGCGTGGTCTTCACGGTTATGATCACGAGCATCCCTTGATGAGGGCGATATTTATTGCCCGCGGTCCGGCGTTCCCTCATAAGGCGAATAGCCGGCTGGAAGTTTTCCGTAAGTGCACTTTCTGTGGTCTGTTGTGGAATGTGCTTGTGTAACAAAACCCACTAACTGTCGGGTGCTCCAGAAAATATCGAGGTTTACAACATCCTCTGCGATTCCGTCGGCATCTCCCCGGCGCCCAATAACGGAACACTTCGTCTTCCGCTGAGACCGGTAGGACTCCATAGTGATGAACCTGGAGCCGGGATCGAGAGTCCGGTAGACCCTGTGACATCCTACACATTAACCTCATCCGCTACCCCTACTACTACCTCAGCTATGACCATTACTATCACGGTATCTACCACTGCTTCAGCACAATCGGCTTCCACCGATCCTGTCACCTCTGCCGTTACCTCGGCCGTCACTCCGGCCCAAAGCCTCTTATCCACATCCTCCCTGAATACGCCTAGCACCAACCACCCGAACCCGCAACCTACCGACCAACCGCCCGAAGGCGACAATGGGACGGACGGTAACAAGCCATCTGATGGCAACTCCGACTCGAAAGAACAAAACTTTTGGGACTGGTTTACCGGCAAAGTGAGCAAGTGGTGGGGGAAGGTAGCAAACTCAGGCAAGAATGACAAGTCGGACGAAAAGGCGGACGACAACAGCTCGTCGGCGCCTTGATTCGATCAATGGCATTCTCCTAAGAATGTTTGCGACATGCATTTACGGCGTTGTTGGGAACACACGGAATGCTTGAATACCACGCGTCTGTTTTGGTGGCCTTTGCTTTTTTATTCCCATTGTCGGTTTCTCTTGGCTTGGCTACCTGTCATATTGGACTCCTAAGAGTTGCCCTCACTACGTGGTTGCTCTTTTTCTTACTTGCCCCTCATGCAGCAGCAATATTTAATGTAATCATCTCTGGACGGAGCTCTCGATTGGCGTATCATAAATACATTGTCACATTCTCTCCATTTCAAGCAATGATTGTACGACCTGACAGCGCAATTATCCTGGGGGAGTGTGCAGGTGTCTTAGTTTCGGCGTTGGAGGTGACCAGCGACAGATTTAGGAATGAAAAAAAAAAAATCATGAATATGTGAAGCACTTATCTGGCAGATGTGGTCACCATCCAGGCCGACGGGGGAGCCGGTGGGGAGCCGATGGCGCGCCGGTGCCAGACAATCAAGGTCCGCATATGCATCTGCACCACTAGCATGGGCTTTTCTGTGCCGGACTGTTCATTATCCTTTTCTCGCTTCCGTGTTCCTTCCCTATCATGTTATTTGCCGATGTTCACGGTTTAACGCAAGGTCACGTAATCAGAAACTTGTGACAATAGATAGTGTACGAAGCTCTCAAGGTAAAAGGGTATCCATGCGTGCAGAAAAGCAGCACTCGTTGCAGTGAAATGCTCACCTTGGCCCATTGACAGCAGTGTTTTATAACTCGCTTATTTTATCATACGGCACCGCAACAGGAGGGAATCAGATGCTTCGAGAGCTGACGAGAATTTTATCAAGGAGAGGTATGAGAACAGCGAGCTTGAGCTGAGTAAACAACTGAAGTCGGAGTCCAATGAAGTGACTGTGCGGAGTCTCACTTGCACTGTAACACATAATAATGGTGGGAGCAATACAGTCGAACCACCTGAAAGTACAGCCTCTAGAACTGCATATTCACCAAAGTATGTCTTCTAATTGCATACCAAGGTGTGGTCTCAAATCCCTGTCTCGCCTAAAGTATGGCTCCTTGTTCTGCATATATGCTAGTTAGTGCATAATCCTCGGCTGTCCCCCATATGTCCGAATTACATCCAAAATTGGGGATTTGACTGTAACCTCAAGGTTATGGCATTAGTACCCGTAAAAATGCGAACATTCCCAAATCGGTGACCGAGCTGTTAACGGCGATAACATCGGCAGAAATGAATGTCTCTAAGCTCGAAAGTCTAACGCCTATTCAGCACACACAACTTGCCTCTCGGGTCAAGTATTGGGAGGAGTAAGCCTACGTGCTGGGTACGGGATGGCCCCGATGTGTACAAGTGGGATCTCCTCGTTTCGGTGAACAGGCATACCGAACAAAATCCTCAAAGATCCTTCCATAACAGACAAGCCTCACCCATCCATGGACACGTATGGCGCCCCCGCACCGCTCTTGCACTCAGAATCTATCGCTGTCAGGTTTCATACTGTACACATCCTTGATCGTTCTGGGCGATTCGATTACAAGTGTTGGGCCGCGTTTACGCTATGGGCAACACATGATTTACATTGGCAATAGGCCTCGGTTTGCCCTCGGATTAATGGTTTTGGTGGACAATTAGGGCACTGCTCTTAATTTGTATGCTAGACTCACCGGTGCGGCACGTCTCATGCCCTACGGGAGGCGGAAGTAGACGTTAAAAATAACAACAACAACAACAATATCCTTGATCGTTTTCTCTTTACAGAGTACCTATCGGGTCAGTGTGGGGAAAGCTGAAGGGATGCAATGTGGAGGCATGAACAGCGCTTGAATTCGGATGAACAGCGGTTGACAGGGAAACACCAGAACGCGTTACCAAATACACTACGTAAAAGTGGCGCATGTTAGAAGTCAACAATCGGAAAGACGCAGCGCCCGGGTTTTGGGGGACTCTCGGGACTGAAATCGATTGCGGCAGCGAAGGAATCGGCACTTTCGTTGGCGTTTGTGATTGCTTTTTTTTTTTTTCTTTTTTTTTTTTCTCTCTCAAGGGGTATCAAGAAAGAAACAATCTGGCTGGCGGCCATCAACGTTTTCCGCTTCTGTTGGTGGCTTCAGACTGGTAGGTAACCACCAACCATTCAAACCAAACGCTTTTCCTCCTCCGAACAACACGGCCTCCTCCTCCTCCTTCCATTTGGGTCTGAAAACTTGACTCCTCACAATCGGCGCAACATTTCGAGTCAGCGTCGTACACGAGCATTACACAAGTTTTCTTCAGGGGGTTCTTGCCATTCGTTTCCCATCTCACTTTTTCCGCACGCGGCTTTGTCGCGTCTTGAGCTTTCAATATTGTCAGCTTGAAGCTACACTTTAAGAATCGAGCGGGATTCAGCCCTCGCTCAGTTTTGCTTGAAGCTGGCGTGGTCCAATCCCGAATCATCCGGCCGTTCTGACAGGCAAACAAGGCGTGCTCAAACGAAGCGTGGGATACCGCAACGGTCTAAAGGGACCTTCCTCTTGTTACGTGGTTCAAGTCAGTTGGAGGCCAGCTCCCGAGAAACCTCGTGGTGCGCCTGCAGCCTTATTTGGGTCGACGGCATCTGGATGGCCACACGGTCTAGACATCCTGATTGCGCCAGGCAGCCACCGTCACCCAGATAAACCCACTTGAGGCTCTTCAGCCAGCTCTTCAATTCACCTACCCCAAGTCCTTGCGTTATCACCCCACGTATCATTTCTTCACGCCAGCTCGCCGGCCGTCATCTCATTGCAAGTGCCCACCAGGCCGCGATCTACCTCTACATTGTCAACCACTGGAGCAAACCGGAGCCTTCAGCGTCTCACAGAGACGCGTGAAGAACGAAACCGTTCCAGGTTCGAGGATTTGAGGGAAATTCACTGTCTCTTGAGATATTGCGTGTTGACTGCGGTCTTGGAGGAATTGTGCAGTTTCCTTTTGTCGGGCTTTGGAGGATACTCCGGTGCAGGTCAAGTTGAAGAGCATACGTAGGTCCCAATACCTACAGGCTCCAACCTGTCCCCAGAGTCGAACGCAATACCTCTATGATTACATTTGTTTTCTAGCACCTTCCGCAAATCTACAAATACTTCGGCTGCTACTTCCTCTTGATTGCAATAACCAACGGTAACCGACTCCCCCCCCCCTCGCTCGCGCTTGCCTTGCATTCAACACAACTTGGTCATCGTGGCTGATTCCTGCCTGTTTTACCTGCAGCCCAATTTCTGCCGTCGCGCCCTCTCTCGTACTCACCGAGCCTCTAAGCATCTTTCGCTACAGCGTCGTCATGTGGCCATTTGAGCCATACTACTTAAACCATGACACCTCCCAGCCGAGCAACAGCGTCTTCGACGCAATCCACCTCGTGGCAGACGCGAACTGGATCATCTTCATCGGACCCCAAGCCTCAAGCCACTGCTAAAGTCAGTGACCTCGAGGACTTGGAAACCGAGTTGAGTGTCCGGCTGGAACTGCGGGCTCAGCTCGAAGAAGAGCCAGAGACTGACCAGAGGAAGGCCGATCTCATCGAGATCAACGACCAAATCTGCGACATTGTTAAGGACATGGACAGAGTTAGAGCCTCTCTCGGTCTCTCGATGGACGCGGACTTTTGGGGCTCGTTGGACGGCTTGCAATCCTCCGCCGGCACTGTCACTGCTCAACAACGAGCACGTCAACAGGGCAATCAAGTTCGTCAACAACATCGACAACAGGCACAAAGGGGGCAACACCCTCAACAACAGCAACAGCCACAATACACTCAACAACAACAGCAACAGCAACAGCAACAGTACGCTCAGCAACAGTACGCTCAGCAACAGCAGCATCAACGCCAGCAACAGCAACTACAGCAACAACTCCAGCAGGTGCGGCAACTGCAACAACGCCAGCAACAGGGGCAACAACAAACCCAACAAGGCTCACACGGAGCGATGGACAGCTATCCTTCCAACAACAACAACAACAACAACAACAACAACAACAACAACAACAACAACAACAACAACAACAACAACAACAACAACAACAACAACCCCAGCCACATGAATCCCGGCTCGACAATTCCGCAGACTTCCAAAACTCATACAGCGGGTTTGTTCCTCGGGAGCGGAAGCGTTCAATCGGTACCAGCTTAGGCCATGAAGCTTTCAGGGATTCCGGAAGTAGTTCGAAGCGTACGGCTTCTGGAAGCGGTACTTACCATGCTACGACCTTTTCAGAGCCCTTCAATGCGAGCCCTTTTGCAGGCAACGAGGACAACTACTTCGGCAACGACGACTTCAGTTTCGACGATTTTGTCGGCGATGGCTTCGACTCCAGCCCGTTCATAGACCTCACATGGTACGTGCAGATCTTCATTGTTGTCTTTGGCGCGTATGTAAACTTATACCGAGAGAGTACTAACTTCCGCTATCTATAGTGATGATGATACCGTGCCTGGGCAAGGATTTGCGCAACCATCTTCAACATCCTCAGCAACCTTGAATTCAACCTCACTGTTTCCTCCCTTTCAGAGTAATCAGACATCGTACCGCAACCCTCAAGCGGGCATACCACATCGCACGAGCTTGCCAGGCCCTCGAGGTCCTACTCCTGCACCTCAGGTTTACAACACGCCTGGCTTGACGCCTGGCATGAGTGATATGTGGAATAGCCCTTTCTACAACTCTGGTGTCGCCAGCACATCGAGCACGTCACACCCGCCTCGGCTAGCACGACCTCAACTCCCAAGCTTTTCCAACAATATACCCTTTACGGATACCGGTTCTCTGGTCTTTCCTAGCTTACCCGGTGGCCTGGCGCCTGTCGATAGCTCGCGGCCAGGCATATTGGTCAACGGAGGCTACTATGCGCCAAACAACCCGGGCTCTAGCGGAACACTGACCGACGTCATCAGTCGGACTGCTACCTACGATTCCAATGTCATGACCGACAATCCATTAGACGTGGGCTTGCTTGGGGCGCTCGCTCTGGATGATGATCCCTTCAAGAAAGAGGACGACATCAAAAAGCTACTATCCAACATCCGGCCAGATGAGGACATACCACCGGGGGAACGCGGAGAGACACCACCAGATCTAGAGTACCCTCTCTATCCACATCAGCAGTTGGCACTCAAGTGGATGACTGATATGGAAAAAGGTCACAACCGAGGTGGAATTCTTGCCGATGATATGGGTCTGGGGAAAACGATTTCAACGTTGGCACTCATGGCTAGCCGCAGAGCTCCAGAGGGTGAAGTGGCAACCAACCTGATCATTGGCCCTGTGGCTTTGATCAAGCAATGGGAGCTAGAGATTCAAAACAAGATGAAGGCTGACCGCCGCATGAATGTTTATCTTTATCACGGCGGCTCCAAAAAGAAGCCTTGGACGGAACTCAAGAAGTACGACGTTGTGCTGACTACGTACGGCACCGTGACTGCTCAGTTCAAGAAACACGAATCTTATCTCGAGAAGATAGCCGAGAACCCGCACGGGCTGGGCGAGCAAGCTGAGCAGCGATACCGGCTGGATTGCCCAATGCTTCATCCTGACACCAAGTTTTTCCGCGTTATTCTGGACGAAGCCCAATGTGTCAAGAACGCCAAAACAATGTCATCGAAGGCTGTCCGCCAGGTTCAAGCTAATCATCGATGGTGTTTGACTGGAACGCCTATGATGAACAGTGTTTCAGAACTTTCCGCTCTGTTGCGTTTCCTCCAGATCAAGCCTTTTTGTGAGGAAAGGAAATTCAAAGAAGCCTTCGGATCTTTGGACCACAGGCATAAAGGGCGCGACTTTGAGAAGAGCAAGGCCATGAAGCAATTACAGGCTTTGTTAAAAGCCATAATGCTGAGGCGCATGAAGACTACAGTGATAGACGGAAAGCCTATTCTGAACCTTCCTCCAAAGGTCGAGCACATTGAGCACGTCGAATTCTCCGAAGGAGAGAAAGAATTCTACACCAACTTGCAAGACAAGTCTCAGGTCATCTACGGAAGATATGTCAGAAACAATACGGTCGGCAAGAATTACTCCAACATTCTTGTCCTTCTCTTGCGACTCAGGCAAGCCTGTTGTCACCCGCATCTCACCGACTTCGAGGCTAAGTCCGAGAATCATCTGGCTGAAGCTACAATGATTGAGCTTGCGAGGACCCTGGAGCCTGCCGTCATTGACAGGATCAAGCAAATCAAGGCGTTCGAGTGCCCGATATGTTACGATGCGGTCCCAGATCCTACCATCCTGCTTCCTTGCGGTCATGATATTTGCACGGACTGCTTCTCCTCTTTGACCGACCAATCCGCTATCCGCGGAATCAGAAACGGCCAGGACGGAGCTTCTGTCGCCAAATGTCCGGTGTGCCGTGGCCCCGCTGACCACACCAAGGTTACCAACTACGCCTCTTTCCAGGCGGCTCATATGCCCGAGGCCCTGGAGAAGACGGAGACCAGCGATGAGGGCAGTGGCTCCGGCAATGAATCAGATACATCGGATGCGTCACTGGGCAGCCTCAGCGAGGAGAAGAAGCGCAAAGCAAAGCGCGAAGGGAAACGTCCTGCAGAGGTTAAGCCGGAAGAGAAGGAGGACTGGAAGCCGACGGTTTTTGACCAACTGCGCAAAGAAGCAAACGCCAGTAGAAACAAGGACGCGCGAGATCGCCTACTCCAATACTTTGGGATCATTGGCAAGACTCGGCCAAGGTAACTCGAGTGACTGAACTGGTCGAACAGTTTCAGCAGACCGACGAGAAGACCATCATCTTTTCCCAATGGACGTCTCATCTCGATCTTATCGAGTGCTCCCTCAAGTTCAAGCTCAACATCAAGTACCATCGCTATACAGGTAACATGCCCAGAAGTCAACGCGATAACGCCATCCAGGAGTTTGTCGAAAACCCTGACGTCAAGGTTTTGCTCGTCTCTCTCAAAGCTGGAAATGCAGGTCTCAACTTGACTGTTGCTTCGCGCGTCATTGTTTGTGATCCCTTTTGGAACCCATTCATTGAGGACCAGGCCGTCGACAGAGCTCATCGCATCGGCCAAAAGAGCGAGGTTCACATCTACAAGATTCTGGTTGAAGAAACCATTGAGGATCGCATCACAGAGTTGCAGAACGTGAAGAGAGACATTGTTGAGACGGCGCTAGACGAGACCCAGAGCAAGCAGCTCGGAAGGCTTTCCATTGAAGACCTCAACTACCTTTTCACTGGTCGCCGTGGAGGCTTGCGTGGTCAGTAAGGTTAAGGAGGAGGAGCACCACCGCCATTCTCTCCGTTATCTTCGCCATCGGCGAATGTTAAGGGAGAACATACCGTTCTTTGACGCGGGAGAATATTCCCGGCCCGAAAGATGCCATGTTACTGCATGGGTTGAAGACCATTTGATCAACAAATTGCCAGATTTGTTATCGGTCTTTTGTATGAGGTTTACTATCAGTGCGTCTTTGCGCGGGAAGTATTTGAGCATTCAGAGGAGTTCACAACAACCATTTCGTCTTTTCAGCATGCTCGAATCAAGGAACAAGCCGCCGGATGGATACCCCTTTCTGACTTTGATAAAGCAACATAAACATCTTGTTACTGGACAGAGGGCATTGCCTTTGAGTTGTAGAGATACGGCGTTGACAGATGGGAAGGAATCGGCAACGGAATGTTGTATGTAATTGATCGAAGCCTTTTCTGGCACAATGATGCCTGCCACTATGTCAGGAAGGAAACAGAGTACCAGGAGAGACTTCTCACTTCCACAGGATTCTTTGTTTCCTACATCAGAAACGTTGCCAACGATATTAGAAAGAGCCTATGCATTGTACGCAATATAGTTATCTTATTAGGACGGTTTTACGTAGTGAAATGCTGGCCCAAGAGTGATGAGTGTGCACCATGATATTATCCGCCTCGGTTCTCCTGTTGCCTATGTGATGCTATCGCGGACACCAGGGACATCTCAGCCCCTTCAGATCGTGGAGTTCAGTGGGACAGTGAAATGCCAAGCAGGCACACACTTTTGGTACCGCGCTAGTCGCAAGCACCCGGAACCCAGTTCTACCTAAGCTCCTTCTCGCCAAACTATCGTGGCTAAAATCACATGCAACAAACGGCTGGGGATGGAGAAGCGGGCAAAATGCATGAAAGCGGAAACACAGCATATTAGATCAACTCATCGAGGACTGACAATAAGATCAAGTCATGAAAAGTCGTCGCTTCTTGGTCGCCCACAGCCAGTCGATTGGACGTCATTCATCTTGCAAAGCGTGAGAGGCGTCCAGGATGACTGATCGTCGCGCATCTCCTGCAAGTCGCTCACTCAGCGCCCACAACCTGACGACTCCACGGCAGGTTCATAGGTTCAACAGTTTATATGGCACCTGGCATAATCGTGACTAACATGAGTTATGCAGTGGTAATAACCCTAACTTGGCAATCATGAGATGACGAGGTCAACCGTCTCGTCAGCTCTCTCACGAATTCACAGTGCCATGTTGATTGCATGAGGCGCAAATAAATAGGTAAAAGATGGCCGAAGACGGGCTGAGACGAGCGGGAGGCCAAAAAGGATGCAATTTCATCGACGACAAGTCGACCGCATAGAGACATGGATGTCAGTAAGCTTGCGGTGGGGTCCGGTCCCGGTATGCTATGCCATTCAGCAAAAAGTCCGACCCACACGATTGCTGCCCTGGGTTTTTTAGAGTTTTGAGGATGCTACCTGCAGTTGACGGGGCTGGCTCCGGGAGGCCTTCACTCAGCTCTTTTCTTTCAGCCAGCGATGCACAATCCAGAGGTCGTCGACATTTGTCGTTTCTTCTTTCGTTTAGAAACGTTTCCCTGTAAAGCTGAGGTTCAGCCGCCCGTGCCGTACAATGATCCGTGTGTAAGTTGTCAGATATGTACATAAACAGGAGTGGAAGAAGTCCTTTCGCAAGGGCAGATGGTTGGCTGGACGAGATCTGGGGTAGGGAGGGGGAAGATGCCCACAGGCCACAGCAGATGCCCAGAATCCAGATGTCCAAATGTCGGATCGGTCTTCGATGCAAAACAACCATTGCAGATAGAAGAAGTTGAAATTTTGAAATTTGAAAAATAGTACATATGATGAGTGAAACATCTGTCAAATGGTGAGTAACGACTGGTCAGCAGTACGAAATCGCCCCTGTCAGCAGTGAGCAACCATCATCAAAAAGGAGTCCCCATATGCGGTCGTCGGCCCCCTTCTCGCCCTTTCCTCAGCGTTCCCATTTCCATGTCTTGGCATCTGACGGGCGACCCAGACCCCCATCATTGCACCACAGCAGCAGCAGCCAGACTCTCCCAGTGGCCACTCGCTTGCTCGCTGCCGTTCACTGGCGCAATGAATGGGTGCGCAATGTCACACAAGTGTCATGTCCATGCCGCTTTGAGTTCTCAACCGCGGTCTCCTCTTCCCCGAAATGCTGAATTTGCCCTCGTTGGTGTTCCTGGAATGGGACTTTCAAACAAGGGGGTCATCAAATCTGGAGGCGCGGGAGAGAGGGTCAGAACTATATGAACAAGCAGGGGGGTGATAAGGCTGGTCCGCAGCGTTAACCCTAGGAAGGCCAAGCGCCGTTGATGTTTCCTCTCGAAAGGAGGAGTCTGGAGATTGATGGCATGGGATGATGGATGATGAAAAGCCGCAAGAGATGGGGGATCAGGAAGAAAGGGTGTGGGTGAGCAAAGAGTTGACTAAGGAGCTGGACTGCTCTCTCTGGATTGAAACTAGGACTGGAAACGGGAGTGGAGGACGAGTCTCTCGCTCATATGAGACTCAAGAGACCCAGGCAACCTCCAATTGAAGTTCCAGATCTTTAGGGCTGAAATTACACTTCTTCCTCTCGCTCCCACCCTCACTTTTCTTTTCTTTTTCCTTTTCCTTCCCCTAACCCTCTTTTAACCTCTCTCTTATCGAGCGGAAGGATTCTCCTGTACGACGCCGCTCTTGTTGCTAGACATTGTGGCTGCTGCCCGGAGCGCTGCCGTCTATCCAAAGCCGCTTCGCCGTTCCCCTTTCCCCCTTTCAAGCTCTCAACTCTGGCCCTGTTACTTTCCTGAGCATACATCTTCAGTCCCTCAAAGACTACCGTTGCTTGGGCTCTCCCCTCAGTCGCAATGGCTCTCTTCGGCGCCATGTCGATACCTAAGCCGCTGTTGACGCTCCTGTTGGTTGCGGCTTCAGTCATACCCTCTGGAGCTACTATGGCTTCATGGTGGAATACGGTCGCTAGTCAGGTTGTCGTCCTCAACGAGACTACAGGCCAATACAGATATACCAGGTGCAACAGCATGGGAATGGATACTATCTACTATTCAGCCACGGGCGGCAACTACCTCAATTTCACCGAGAACCCGCCCAAAACTGGCAGTCCTTTGACCGGGACTGGCTGGTATGACCAAACAAATGTCTGGTGAGTTCCTACTTGTCTACCTGATTCCAACTGACGTCGCTAACTTCTGCTCAGGTCATCATTATTCTACCTGGATGAGTCCAACAGTATCAGAAACGCCATCTTCAAGTGTAATGCATCGACCGGTCTTTACATGGACGCGGAGACACAATTCTGGCCCGTTGTGGCCGATGGAGCGCCGACGCCGCACACCAATTCTGGCATGACTGTGTTTAATCGCGGCGACAAACTTGGTTATCGACTCTATTATCACGATGAGGATATGCATCTCAACGAGCTTCGCTATGATCCAAATACTTTCACATGGTCTTGGGAGGGAACCATCAACCATGACGTTCCGTCGAACAACGCGATCGCCGCAACCGCCGGCAAAGATAGCGGCAACTTCACCGTCGTCACACCACGGGACGACAAGAACATTCAACTTACGAGATGGGGCCTGGACAAGAGTTGGTATATCTGTGAGTGTCTCCTAGAAGAGTCCACCTACTAGGTACCAACCGGGAGCAACACCATCATACTAACCTCCCTCACCCCCCATCTAGCAACCACCCCACACCCCCTCAAAGGCAACTTCAGCACCAACTCGGCCTCCGAGTCCTCCTTCGAAATCGACTACTCCGCCCCCTTCAACTACACCCTCCCTTCCTGACCGGCCAGCCCAAATCCATCGGCATCAGCCTCGACACCGCCTGGATGCGCTACGTCTACTACATCGGCAGCGACAAGTCTCTCTACCGGCTCACCTCGCAAAACTACGTCTGGCGCCTCTGGGAAAACCAGTCAACGACCTACTGGCCGCAAGCCGACGAAAGCAATGCCGAACTCACCGTCGTCAGCGCCATCATCCAGGACACGCACACGGCCAAAGTGCGCATCTATTACATGGTCGGTGGCAAGCTGGCTGAGGTGGCGCTGGACGGCAACGATAACGACTGGAAGCAGTGGCGGACTGTTCCCGAATGGGACCCGAACAGCGCGAAGCAGCCGAGTACTGGCAGCACCACGACCGGCTCTCCATCTAACCCGTCCGCCACCTCTGGCTCCGGTTCCGGCAGCACGACCACGAGCCCTGACCCCGGCGCTGCCGCGGACTCTGCCTCCTCCGGCGGCCTCTCCTCCGGCGCCAAGATCGGCGTTGGCGTGGGCGTCGGTCTAGGCGTCGTTGCTTTGGGTGCCATCATCGCCGCTATTTTCCTCTTTAGGAGAAACAAGAACAAGAATTCGGCCCTTGCCGAAGAAGATGGCCAAACGACAGTCGTGGGGTCGGAGGCGCCCACCGCTACTACCTCGCCGCTTTCACCCTATGGCACGCTTGCTGCTGGCGGTTACGGGGTCCAAGAAGAATGGGATCAGAAGATGGGGCCTGGGGGCCAGGGCGGAGGAGGATACACGAATGTGCAACAGCTGGACACGACGGAACGGCCGATGGAGTTGGATGCGCCGAGGGCGGTGTACGAGTTGCCGGATCAGAGTTGTAGTCATGAGTTGATGGCAGATAACAACCACACGACGACGAGGGTGGAGGCACTGGGGGATCTCGGTCACGAGCAGGCGTATCAGGGGCAGGAGAAGAGTGTATAATTAGTTATTGGTATCTAATGGGGAATGAATGGAGCAATGTAGTAACGAATTGAAGAGGGTGCAATTTTATGGCTACTTATTAAGCTCGGAGTTGTGGACATGTCTGAATTACTCTTGTGGATGACGCTGTTGAGTTGACACCGATGAATATGCGGACGAGCTTATTTGACCTTTTCACGTGGTTATTTTATAGCGATGAGGAAGAAGGAAAAGGCGTTTGAGGATACCCCTTTGAAATCAAAGTCCAATATTGGCATGGCTTCAAAGAACTGTTTATACTTTGTTATTAATGCCACTATAGTTGTTCAGTATATATAGTAGTACATGCATCACCGGACTTCACATAGGCAAGCAAAAATGTGTTGCCTTTGTTATGCCCAAAGCATGTATCAAAGTCATATCAGTTCTTCTCATAATCTACCCATACCATCATAACGATAACCTCTTTTTGCATTGTCCCCCCCATCTAGGTACAAGACTCCTTATCCATGCCAGTCCGGTTTGGTGCAAAATCACATTCAGCACTGCTAAAACTCCCAGAGCATAAACAATCTAATCGCAAGTATGGCATAAAACCGTTATAGAGGAAAGATTTACTGAGCCGGCTCAAGCCCACGCTTCACATCCTTAGCCTTGACTCCCGTAAGATCGGGCTCAGGCAAGGTGTGTCGCGGACGGCCTCCAAGGATGTCAACAATCTCCTTCATACTAAGCCAGAAGGCAGCCTTGGGGCGTCTGTTGGGCCAGTCGGTCTCCTCCTCCGCCAACTTCTGGATCGGTGTGAAGACGACACTCGCTCCCTTGATACCGATGACGCTAGCGCTCATAGGATCGGTCTTGACGCGGTTGTGCACGTTGCGTCCATACTTCTCAAGCTGCTGAATGCACTTGATGGCCAGGCGGACAGCACGGCAACGGTCCATGGGCGAGGGAACACCACCCTGCTGCATGTGACCGGGGATACCCTCACGACTTTCGAAACGGCCATGGGCCTCGTCGCGGAGAATATCGGCAATGAGCTTGGCGTTGTAGACCTTGGAGGCCTTCTCGTTGATCAAGATAACGCGACCGGCTCTGCTCTGTCCCTTGTCTTGAGCGAACACCTCCTTCAAATGACGGACATCTTCGCTGAGCATATCCAAGCTGAGCCCCTCCTCGGGAAGGTAAACAGCCGAGGCACCAACGCCGAGACCGGCAAGGGTCGCGACATAACCGGAACGGCCACCCTGTGTCTCAATGACGAAGACACGTCTGCGGGTGGCAGACGCAGACTGCTTGATCTTGTCGCAATAGTCGACAAGCTCGTTAAGGCAGGTGTCGGAACCGAGGGAATACTCAGTGCCGGGAACATTGTTGGAGATGGTCGCTGGGAGCAGCGTCATGGGAATGCACAGAGATGGGTACTGCTCTCTGGCCTTGCGCAGTTCCTCGACGGCGTGGAAAGCCTCGAAGCCGCCGATTAGGAACAGGGCATCGAACTGGTACTGCTCGATGAGGTTGGCGATAGTTTCCATACCAGACTCACTCGGGAGTTCACGGTTGGTACCGATCTCAGAACCGCCCTTGCTGGCCCAGCCATCTACCTCGAGCCAGTCGAAGGGCCGCACTGCGCCTGGGGAATCGCCATGATGGCGCGCAAAGCCTGCAAAGCCGTTGTGGATCGCAATGGGCTCGTGGCCACGAGACAAGCAGTACGCCACACCAGCTCGGACGGCGGCATTCATACCACCAGCGGGGGCCCCGACGTTGATAAAGCCAATTTTCATGCGCTGGATGGAGGTTAGCCAAAGTCAACCAGATGATGCGCAAGTAGTATCATGATCACTCACCTCCTTTTCTGGCAGCATCGTCTCGTGATCAATCTGGCCTGCAGTTGTCATCATGAACGACTTGTACTGCTCCGAGAACTCGGCATCACGAAGAGCCATGGCTCCGTCAAAATCCTGGCTTTCAATCGCCTTGGCGACCTCCTTGGTATCCAGCACCGCTTCCATCAGGGGCTTCCTGACAATCTTGTTTTCGGTAATGGCGATGAAGCAAGTCTTGGTCTCGGGGGTGGCTTCCAGGACAGCCTTGACGGCCTCGACACCCTGGAGGGTCGCAAGCATCCTGTCATATGCGACGGCGGTACCACCGCGCTGAACGTGGCCGAGAGTAGTGATACGGGTATCGAGGGCGAGGCCATCCTTGTCGGCGAGGAGGTCTCTTACTTGCTCGGATGAAATCTTGTTTCCGAACTTGTCGAGGGCACCCTCGGCGATAATGACAATCGTCTTGCGCTTTCCAAGCTTACGATGCTGTTCGTTTCCACTCGTTAGCCATAGCCATTTAGTGGTAGAGTAATCCGGACCAAAACATGCGAATACGTACTTCCTGAACAACGTTGCACATCTCCTCTCTCCAGTTGTCCTCCCTAGGTTTCTCAGGAATAAAAATAAAATCTGCGCCTGTCGCGACACCTGCCATCAAAGCTAGCCAACCGCAGTGTCTGCCCATGACCTCAACGACGAAGGCACGGGAATGGGAAGAAGCGGTAGCCTCGATCAGATCGACACACATGCAAACTCTCGCCAAAGCCGAGTAGCAGCCAACGGTGGCATCTGTACCAGACAGATCGTTGTCGATGGAACCGACGATACCAACGATGTTGAGGTGCTTGTAAGCGTGAATTTGCTCGGCCGTCAGCTCGCCAGTAGAGACCAGCTCGTCCAGCAACGAAGGCCACTCAGCACGGAACCTGTCGGCACCGGTAAGGGAGCCGTCTCCTCCGCAGATGATGAGGGCATCGATGCCATTGAGGATCATGTTCTTGGCGGCAGTAAGACGACCAGCGCGCTCGTAGAAAGCCATGCAGCGAGCGGTACCGATCAAGGTACCACCTTCTGAGAGCCAACCGCGCACGTCGTACCAGTCCATCTTCTTTATGAGATCACCGCCCCGAACCAAACCCTCGTAGCCTTCGTAGACGCAGTAGGCGTCGCAGCCCATGTGGATGGCCATGCGGACACAGGCGCGTACGACGGCGTTCATGCCGGGGGAGTCGCCGCCCGAAGTCATGATGGCGATCTTCTTTCTGGGCGCCATCTTGGTGGATTCTGGCGACATTTTCGTTGGTAGTACTTTTCGAGGAGTGGTCGAGCTCAGTAGGAGTCGGATGCCTAGCGAGGAGGCCGAGAGGAGGAAGAGGGCAAAGAGCGCCGGAAATGGGTTATAGAGGATAGATAATGGTCGAGAGAAGAAGGTTCGATCAAAAATGGGCATGCTCCAGGCTCCAACCTGGAAGCACCGAGATAGTCAAGGGGACTTGTACAGAAAAAGACTAAAAGTATATGGTAGTCCCTGTCCTGGTGATGTTGATAGAACGAATGATGCCTGTCTGGATCGCGACAAGCTCAAGATTCGCGGTATGGATAGGTAGGAGGTTCAGGAAAACGTCAAGAGGAAGACGGAAGAGATGAAAGAGACACGAAAGAGGGCAACGTCAGCTTTCCACTTGAAAATCGGAGACGAATTCTTTTCAGTCTTGGCCATTAACAGCGGCGCAAACCCAAGTACGACTCCTTGTCTAAGTACCTACTGTGTACCTACAAGTACGGCACTGCGAGTCCGGAGAGAGCGAGGGTCTCTCAGGTATACAGCTGCTGGGTTGTTACGCCGCCAAGTGGAAGCTCGAGTGGAAGTGTGCTGATCGGCTACTGACGCATAGCGCCTGCAGTGACATGGATGACGGGGTGGGCATCTGCGCTAACAGGGTGCTAAGAAAACGGAAGAGCTCTTATCTTATCGGACCGCCCACTGCGCGCGGCGGGCAATGGCGGGGTTGTCAACACTTTCATCCCTCTGTCAGCGGCCTCACTGTAGGTGGTAGCAAACCTCATCTTCCCGTCCTCTTCAGTCTGCTCCATGGTCCGGCGAATCGTCCGAGTCGTAACAACACATAAACAACAGACACACTTCGCTCACAGAAACCTCCAAGTTTTCTCAGAAGGATTCTGACATGTGGATCGTATCAGAACGTGAAGCTCGGCGGTGGTGGTGCAGGTTTCTGAAATGCTCGGCGGATTGGGGAAAGTCTTGGAGGTGAGGGGTTTTTGCAGCCCCCAGCAAGAGCGATTGGGTCATTGGATGACATAACTGGCGGGGTGACATGGCCATTGACAACGTCAAGATGGATCCGCCGTGCCCGCCGCGGCCCAACGGGCAGAGACGATCCGTTGCCAGGGCTCGTCAGGGCAAACCTTATTACCACTTCCCAGCCGCATCGAATGGACTGCCAAGGGTTCTGATACGATCTGATAGGGCCGACCTGTATAAAATCTGTCCACCATCTTTCACAAAAACAAGTTATTCTTCCTGTCAAACTGCCCATCTTCTCTGGAGAGCGGTGTAACCGTCTTGGTGAACGACATGTGATTTGCCTCCCGTGTGGTGAAATGATGGGAATAACCTCAGTGTTGACTGAACTTGTGCCGCTCGGCCAACCTTACAAAAAGAAGGGCCTATCGATAAACATTGAGGTAACACAGTGCAGTGTCTCCCAGCACTACCGGACGTAATGACAAGTGCCGGTCCCTGTTTGAAATGGCGCATGGAGCGAGCCTGGACCTGGAACCAAAAGCTCGCTGTGGGGGTCACTGAATTTTCTTTAATCCCCTATCATTTCGGCGCACCTTCCCGTCCGGCCGGTACCTGTCCGAGAAAGACCGCTCTGGCTAAATCTACTGTATGCTTTGATTAAATCCACTGTACCCACATGAAAGTCCCAGCAAAACCACCAAGTGACACGGGCCATGAGACTTTGTGCCACCGACATCAGTCATCACCAAATCTCAAGGCATCAACCACCGTTACCACACCTCAAAAAATGCATAGGTCGTTTCCAACGAGCATCTCCAGGTTAATTTCCCAATCCCGGATAGGGCAATGAATGCGCCTCAGAGGAAGTGAAGCAAGTGACCTCAGTCTGCAGTTGAAGACGGCGGCCACCGTAGGGTATCGGAGCAGCTATGTCCAAGTGTCTTTCGCCAAAAACTAAACCCAAAAACCCTATGATTCCGCTCCTAAGCTTCTGGGCCTTCTGAAGGACTTTTGCGAATCTGCAGAGGCCAAATTTCTACACTCTTTCTTGCTTAGTCGTTGAAAGACGTTGGCGAACATTGGGCTTGGAGCATACAGTAGATTAACCAAACCATACAGTAGATTTAGCCGGACCGTGAAAGACGGAAGAGACCCACGCGGTGGACAAGGTTCCGTTTTCATCTCTTCGTCCGGCGCGACTGGACTGTCACCCGGCGGCCCGCATTCGACGGGAACGGCACGGATACTATGGTCTGTGCGTCGCCGCCCGTGCATTCGGCAGGCAGCTTCCACTGGCACTGAGCAACCGCGAAGCTCTGTCGCCTTGACCAAGCTGCATGACTTCTTGAAATCGCAAACAAAGACGACAACAACGATACTTTGCTACAAGCCACCCATATTCCGCATATTTGCAGTCATTATTTTGGACAATGGATTCCCCTCTCAACCTACGGCCAAGGCCGCCAAACAGTAGAGGGCCCCAGACAATCGCAGACTTTATTCGACGCGTCAACGCAGAGCCCGGCGGTTTTCGAGCTCTCAACGAAGAGGAAGTGCGCAGGAACGTCATTGCCGAGCGCAATGGGACTCACGAAGATGTCGAAATGGTTACCGAGCAGGAGGCCGACGATGACACCAAGAAACCCGATATTATTGCTGCTCGCCACAACATCGTCATGAACCTCGGCCAGGCGATCCAGATCTCCTCCAACTTTCTCGACTTCATCTCGCTCCTTCTCTCAAAAGAAATCCCCACGCAAGCCGCCGTCTCGATTTCGCCATGGCTACGAAGCCAAGTACCGATCGGATCCATCGGCGCCACCCAGCTCGACACGCCTACTCCTCTGACCCAGAGCAGAGTGGCCGACAACAAGCTGATCACCATTGGCAAGCGACTGGTCGCGCTCAACGAAGCAGCCGATACTGCTCTTGCCGCTGCCAACAGGCTTCGCCAAGAGATCAACTCCGAGACCAAATACTGGCAGGAAGTCTTGACCGTTAGCCAAAAAGGCTGGTCAACCGCCCGCCTACCCCAAGAGCCGCACGATATGGGTGTCAAGTTCGGCTTTTCCAATGCTGCGCCCATGTTCAAGAACAATAGCGTTGCGCCATTGAAAAGGGCCGAGGATGGTTCTGTCCGTCTAGAATACGGGAGAATGGGTTCCAGATCCGAACGTCTCCAGGTCACACTTTTGCACAATGGGGAGGTCATCGGAAGATCAGCTCTTCCTCGCCCTCTGCCCGAGGATGCTCCGTTGGACGATCGTGTTAAAGAGGCACGGAATACCATCTTTGCGCAAGAACTCTGGCACGAGATCAACCGAGAAGGTCGCACACTCCACGGTCACCATGTCCGTCTAGAACAGTCGGCTGTAACTTGCGCCCTCGATCCTAACCGGACCATTTCGTTCGAGCTGGTGGGCTTGGAAGACCAAGATCCCTCCAGGGCACCTTTACCTGGCGATATCGACGCTGAGACCGCCTCAATCACCCTACACCTCCTCCTGGGCAACGCTCACAGACAGAACCAGCTCAAGCGTTCCGAGCGGACTGCGCCCAACGCAGCCAGAGGCCCACCACCGCCCTATAACCTTCTCCTCCCCATTATCACCTACTACAGACACGAAAAGACACTGGAAGACTGTACTACCTTCCTAGCCGCCTTCTGCGCCGCCCTCCGCTCCGCAGGGATCCCATCCTCATTCAGCATGACCGAAAACATTAACAAGGGCTCCTCCCCCGGTGCTCCGCCCTCCGAGGCGCTCATGAAAACCCTCCTCCACCCGTCCGAAGTCCAATTCGACCTAACCATCACGCCCGCCGCGCGCTTGCGCATCCTCGCCAAGCCCTCCCCCATCTTCGGCACTAGATTCTCCATCTACCTCCTTCACCCGCAGTCTAACCACCTCGTCAGCTCGTTCCCGCCTAACCAGACTGATTCGGTCTATGAGAACATCAAGGAGCTGGTCCGCTACCTTAGCAATGCGGTGCCTCGCGCTTTGACTTTGTATTATTACCCGCTTGCCCAGGAGATGCGCAACCCCAAGAACAACAACGGCGAAGCAGCCGCTCCTCCCACTGCTGCAACTACAACAAGCTGGATAATCCACCAAGATGACCTCGGTCTCGTCGACGACGACACCGAGACCTTCGGCATCCGGTTTGCTTTTGTCTCAAGCCACACCCACAATGACAATCCCGGTGATGACGCAGCAACAGAGCCAGAGCTGCGCGTCACGGGAGACTTTATGGATAAAGATGGCAAGCGGATTCATAAAGAGTGGAAGTGGACTGCCGGTAATGTGGACGGCGACAGCAACGGCAGCTTAGACGAAATAGTCAAGCACATCTTGGCAAATGGACCATCGTCGTTGTCGGCGGCGGCGGCGGCGGCGGCGGTGTTATCTGCTTAGAAAGCTCAAGCTCAAGATGAGACATCACCATTACCACCTTTCTCTTCCTCCCCCGGTGGGACTTTGAATTTCAATGTGACTTGGCTACGTAAGTGGTACAGCGAGTGGTGGAAAAAGTGGTGGAAAAAGTGGTTGGGCGAGAATTCAAGCGAGGAGCAAAGGTGAAAGCAGAAGCGGGTGTGGGAGTGGGAGTGGGAGTGGGAGTAGAAGCGAATCCTTGACGAGGAGGGAGCGTATTTGTTTCTCGAAAGTGTCTTTGGTAGAGACCGAGACTGAGACTGAGACTAGAGAAAGAACAAGAGGGCTAGTTCTACGAAAGCGAGACCGAACCTGTCGGACAGCTGGATCGGTTCACAACGTACCCGACCGTTATAGATACATAAAGGTCCCATCATTCGACTGGGTGGAATCAGATTAGGTAGAAAGTCGTACGGATGATACCATTACGGTACAGACGTACATATCATACGTGTAGTGCGAGCTACTTTAACAAAATCAAGAGCTGGTCTCCTAAGCGAACAATACGCATCTCCATCTGATCTTCAGTCCTCCATCCCGTCTGCCATCCCGTCTGTCATCGTTTATAAGAACCACTTCCCATCTACCCATATCTCTACCTGGTGATCCTTAGACTTTTCTATCATATCTTATTATTAGACTTTTTGGGTATGCCAGATGTTATTACAGGTCCTAGCAAGCTGTCCTCCGGCCAACTGACACCTCAAGGGTGATACGGCTACATTTTGATGATAATTCGTCACCCCCTTATTCCCTTTGTTTACTTGAGGGACTCTCGGAGTACAGCCTGTCATACTGTATCACGAACATCGACAAGGTCACAAATAATCCTCTACGTACGAGGCCTTAAACCACAGCTCGTACAAGCCTGAGCTAGTTCGATCAGAAATAACATGAGATTTGAAAAAGAAGTTGGAAGCTGTCGACAGTCCACAAAGACATGGGCGCAGATTAGTCATAAACGTCGTAAATATGCTATGCTGGTCTAAGGACACAACCACTACACCCTCCTCCAGCTCCTTCCCCTATGAAACGTACATATAACCAACATTCTGAATGCGGTACTCATTGACATTCATCGCATACATGACTTGTTCATCATCTTTCGTACGTAATGTTTTCTTTTTCGTCATAAGTCATAAGATCAACCATCCAAAATAACAACCAAACATGACATACATCGTGACATGACGTGAGGGGTAACATGATTAACCAAAAACAACCATCCAGAACCAAACCAAGGGAAAAGAAAGTGTATAGGCAGAAGAAGATCCATTTAATCCAACGCGCTTGGTATTACCTTCCCGTACATAACGTGCCAGGTCTATAGTCGAGTCGTAATCCGCATGAGAGGTGAGCATTTAGCGATACCTGCCACCGGCTCGGCTGTCATAGATGACCTCGTGCTCGACGATACGCTCGCGCTCGTCGTCCCAGCGATCATCGCGTGAGCGATGGCGGCTGTGGCTGTGGTTGTTGTGGTGGTGATCACGGAAATCGTAGTCATCGCGAGAGTACTCGCGCTCCCACTGAATCTCGCGAATGCGATCCTTGCGAGCCTGGCGAATCTTGTCGGAAAGCTGAACGCAGCGAAGAACATCCTCCTGTTTGATGGGTTAGTGACTGGCCCACAAAATAAAAGTTCGACCGGAGGACAACTTACATAGCGCAGGTACTGCATGATGTAGAAGAAGTATTCGGTTTCCTCATAGTCATAACCAAGCTCCTCAATGGCTTCACGAGTGACGAGATCCTTGGTGATCTCAGTCCACATCTCGCTACGACGGGGGTTCTGCGAGCCGTGGATGCTGATGCGCCTATCGGTGACCTTCTCGGTCACCCTCTCACGGTCGTCACCGCCCCGCTCGTTGTAGATCTGAATACTGAGTCTGCTATCGCGGGCGTCACGGTCGCGCTCACGGTCACGGTCATGGTCACGGTCAGAACCGGAGGAAACGACACTCCTCTCATCACGCTCGGGGATGAACTGGGAGCGCCTAACTCCGCTGTACTTCTGCCATGTGACCTCGGCAGAGGCACCACCGGCACCATCCAACCGCACACGCTCGGTTCCGGGAGGAACATCAATGATGGTCCAGTCCTTGGTGATACCGTTGTACGCCTCGCCCATCTGGCCCCTCGAGTCGATCTTGGACGTGATGTACCTAGCCTCATCGTCAAAGTCAATGTGGGGAGGAGCCTCCGAATGAGCACGACGGCCGCTGCGAGAAACGCTGCGGCGACGCTCGACGTCAACATGGAGGCGACCGGTATCGGCGTGGATCAAGAGATCGTCATCATAAGCATGTCTGGGCGAGCGGCGCTCCTGAGAGCGGCCACGGCTCTTGGAGGCGTGCCTGTGGATGTCAATTTCGGTGTCCTTGCGAGAGGTGTAGATGTCGATCTCGGTTTCGGAAAGCTGGGGCTGCTTGCGGCGAACTGGGGAGGCAGGGCGAGATGGTGGGCGCACGGAGATCATGCCTTGTATGTGTTAGTGCTCTGCAAGCTTGAATTCTGCAATATGGATTGGAAGGAAAGTAACATACCATGGTCGATATCGCGGTAGTGAGTGATGACTTCTCTCTCAATGACAGGTCCCTTGATGACCTGAGGCTGCTGAGGCTGAGGCGGCGGGCTGGGCTCACGCTCCTTCTCCCTCTCAACAATGCGGATGTGCTCACGAATGTTCCGGTCAGGCGAAGGGGAGCGAGGGCGCTGGCGTTCCCGCTGGGTTTCCCGAATCTCAAGCCTCTCCATGCGGGGAGGAGACGGGCTCCTCTGACGTTCGACAATGCGGGTGCTTGCGCGAATCCTGTCAGCAGGAGGGCGGCTAGACTCGCGGACACGGTCGAGGGTATGGATATGAATGTCCGACTGCTCAGTGCGCCTCCGGGGCTCAGGGCTGATACTCCTAGCTCTGTGGACGATGCGCTCGTGCATGTGCACAGGGCTGGGTGACCTTCGCCTGGGACGCTCAACAGTCTCAACCTCCCTCTGTCTCAGCACCATCTGGCCTGCCTCGGAACGCCTGTCATCACGCAGGAAGGCGGGAGTGCGGTCATCATGGATGTGAATATCGATATCCTCATCAGCGTAGCGGACGGGAGGGCCACGGCTGGGAGCACGGCTAGGAGCGCGGCTAGAAGCGCGGCGGGGTGACTCCCTGTAGTAGTCGTCGAACTCGACCCGGCTTCTGCTGGCCATGGTCGCTAGTGTATGATGTTGGTTGTTGTTGTTCTTGAGTGGTGGTATGAATAGCCGGTGAAGGACCGAGAGAGGATGGATGACCAGGTGAAGTCTGGAATCTCAGGCCAGCGGGGTGGTGACTGGGTGTTATGAAAATTTCTCAAGCCAGCCTTCTTCTAGGCTGCGGAGTGTGGCAGAGCCTGATGTTTAAGAGGGGAAGCCGGGAGAAGGAACTCGTGGACAGAGAGGGTGGGAGTGAGGGCGGGGTTGGTCTGAGACTAGGAAGTGGACAGACAGGGTGGGTGAGTGGAAGAGACTGGGCGTGTGACCGTGATCTTGGCAAGCTACCAAGTTCCTTCTTCAGCTCTTATCCGGGGGCCTGCTGATGATGTGATGGATAACTGCCCTGTCGGCCTGGAATCCGTGTGGTTGGGCTGCGGTTAGGACCGATATGTCCACAGTTCGGCGGTTGTTGTTTGATGGGAACCTACGAGAAGACTCCGATGACCTGCTGAGATAATTACAGAAGGAGGCCCTCTTGGTGATTGTGAACTTGCGACTGGAAGGAGGAAAACTGGAGACACCAGAAATACGGGAGAGACGAGAAGCAGACAAACACATTTAAGGAAGGAGGCAGTGACGGGAGGGGCATGGAGAAGAAGGCTCCCGAAACCCACTTCTGGGACTGCGCAGCAGCAACACCGGGTAGGAGTGACTGGCACACGCTCCAACTCCCCTCGTTCCTTCCCCCAGTGGAACAAACATCGGGCGTAGCATGATACGTGATAGTACATTACCAAAGCAATGTTGGGTCTGACGAAGTTTCAGGGTCCGGTCCGGTTTGTGGCCGGTTTCTGGCCATGTCGATGCCTCTTTTTTCCCATCCTGAATGCCCTGGTTGAGCATGTTGAGGTTGGGAACCGCCCATGACATTTTTCGGTGACATTTGCTCGCATCTGCCAGTGACATTGGACTTCCAGCCAATTGCCCGGGAGTGTAATTGGGCTCGAAACCAACGTCATCATCCCACCATAACTGGGAAGGTACTGGGCACGCTCCTTTTTCCTCTAGTGCCTTTTCTTGGAGCCTGCTCAAGCGCAAGTGCGGTCTCCATCGATCCCATACAGGCTGCATCCTTGCGCCCTAGTGTCGTCTGGTCAGCGCTTGCCGTGGGCGCCATCCCAACTTCCATCCAAACTTACCAACCCCTGGCCCGAGATGGTGTAATGGGGTGTCATTACGGTACGTACCAGGCGGTATGAGATCTGAGGAGGCTGGTCCCCTAGAAACAACAGCAGGGTCAATATCAGGTTTCATCGCAACAAGCTTTAATTCAACCACGTAGGTCAACGAAATAAGTGATGCTGCTCCGTATGTTTGTCTAGGCTTCTTGTTAGCGAAGCGTAGACAAAATGAATTACCAGTGTGAGATGGAAGTCTGTTGATTGAGCTGACGGGTTTGGGGTACATTACATTGCACTTGATTACACTCGGGTTACGTTACTCAGAAACTCACGATAGCCGATGAGTTTACGCCGTTGGGTCCCTCCCGTCAACCTCAAAGTCTAGAATCTTCCCAAACACCAGCAAAGCCACCCGGCAGTCACCACCATCACTTACCGAGAACTCATGTTGTTGAGATTAGAAATGAAAAGGAAGCATGCAAGGCTAGAGTTCCGGAGTTGGCGACTCATGCCGTCGCTTTACTGTACAATGGCTTTGGCTGTGTCAAGGGTCGAGAAGTGAAAAGTTGACGATTGTTTCCACTGCCAGCGGGTAAACTATCATAACCAGCCACTTTACTAGCTGCTTCTTAGTGCTTAACTGCATGCCCAGCCGCAACGCCCAACACCACAAGTTCCGTCTTTACGTCGTCTTGCAGGAGGGCTGTGCCGCGCGACAGGCTCTGAAAGTTTGAACCCACGCGGACAGGCCGCGGCCGTCGACAACCGACTCCACGATATGTTGATAGCTTCTCTATGTTGACTGTTGAGGTTCCTCATGAGGCTGCTTCAATTTGTCTGTTGGAAATGCTGAACACAACCAATATCAGGTCACAAGGACAGCAGCCATGTCGGAAAACAGAATTCCACCTCAGCGTCTCGAGTCTCTTCCCCGAATGCCCTAGAATCCGTCAACGGAGCAGAGCGCGGGATTTCAGAAACCCAGTCAGCAAATAGTCGCCCTGGGCTTCTTTTCAGGCTATGAATGTCTCCTACTGGCCGGGCTGAAGCTCATGAGACGACGGCTTTCCGGTGCTGCCCCTCCTTCTCGCCCCCTCCGCTTGTCCCTACGACGGCATGCTCCCTCCACTGCCCCTCCCTTGTTCGTTCCCGTCCCCTCTCCGTGTGTTTTAGCCTGCCCCACCATCCCCATCGTTTTCCACTCACAGTCGTGAAAATCAAACAGGTCAAACCTTCTTTTGCTTGTGATCTTCGTCATCGCATCCGCTCACCACCTCGTAATTCGTCGACATTTCTATACGGGCCTCCCTTGACTTTTCCAGTCACACGAACCATGATCTACCAATCATCCGATGCTCCTCCACTTCATCGGGATTCTCACAACATCGGACCAAAACCTCAGAATGAACCCGCTCGGATGAGGTCGTCCCATCCCCTTGCTTGTGCTTTCATCCCGTCTTCGCCGAACCAAATCCCCGGGATGCGGAAGCAAAGAAGAACGGTGCCGTCGGTGTCACCCGTATCGTCTTGTGCACATCCGGGTTGACGTCCAGACAGCGTTTGAAGAAAGCGGAAAATCTCAACAGCCGGCGGCAGCGTCGCCAGCACCCAGCGGTGCCAGCGGGGTTTGTGGGTGACCCTGTGACGCAATCATGCAGCTTGAAGCTTTGAATGATAAAATAGTCTGACCAGTGAGACATCGAGAAACCACAAGAAATCCCAAGACCTGCTTTTCGGGACAAGAACTTTAGCATCATCTATTCCATCGACCGACTGGCATTCGGCCAAGGGCGGAATATGTGCATTACGCATGGAGTTGTTCAAGTGGGCATACGGTACTGTGTTGTAGGGCTGGCCAGAACCAGAGCCAGAACTATGCAGTCATCCGAACCAAAGCCGATGGTTCTCAGGTATCACATTCACACCTCCAGATATCACCATCACAGGTGTTCTCCCTTACAAAGAATCAACGTCTTACTTGACCGCCAGCGTGGTGCGAGGATGATTCCCTGGGAACACGGGGCCAGTTACACTACACTTGGCCGTAAAATATCTCCCAGTCATAAACATCACTTCATATGAAAAGCGGTGCTTTGGAACCACAAGCCCACCGATTGAGCCTGACTGCCTACCGGCTACTACGCAAACACAAAACACAAGCCGTTAACGACATCTTTCAAGAGCCTCATACAAAAAAGGTTCAGTCAGGTAATCAACGTTGTAGCACAAGGCAGAATCCGATGCATAGCTTTCAGAGCCTCCTACTATCGATAAGGGTAACCGCTTGCATCTGTCCGCCTGGCTTGTCAGTGTCTCGATAGTTTCGAGCTTCGAAGCACCATAACGGCCATCCTGCGTTCCTAGAGCCGCCGGATCATCGCTTTGGCTGAGTTGGGCATCAATAAAAAATTGTGTATTGTGTGTAAAGTACGGTAAGATTTCCACACAAGTCATTCTCCATATGCCCCATTACTTCATAGTTGAAGATCAGGGGTGGAAGACACTTCACAAACAGGCCGGTAGCAAAGATGGTCAGGAACTCGATTCAAACTCGACAAGATCTACGATTTCTATGAAGCGTGCCGGCATATTATTGACAAGCATGATGAGCATAACCGACGCGTGCCAGCCATGCCATGCCATTCCTCCTGTCCTTGTTGCTCGTCTTGCCATATTTAGATGACAGCCCCTGAGAGTGGCAAAAACGTTAACCAGTTGACCAGTACCGGGAGACATGCGGGTGGTGCAAGTTCGTGGGCCATTGACCCAATTGTGCATCTCGATATTGTTCCTGCACTCGTTACACCCATTCCTTCTGCGCGCGGATGAATTCACGGTACATAATCCCACATATATTACTCTTGGTAACAGCCAGATTGGGATATCTCGACCGAAAGGGACTCCCGAGATATCAAGATATCAAGTTTCTAGTGTATCGAGAACGGATCCTTTCCGATCTGATCAGGGAGGCAAATAACATACCAACCTCCTCATATATACAAGCTTCGCTTCTTTTTCTTCTATTTCTTCCACGCATGTTGTAGAAAACCCCCTGAGCGCCGGCCAAGCGAGCTAAGGACAACGGAACTGCTATGGAAGTGGTAGCCGACTATATCCCTCCTCCCTCCATGTTCTATACGGTTCGCTACATACACACATAACATGTTCTTCACATGCGCGCCGCGTAGTGTAGTGACTGAACGAATATCTTCTCACTTCTTACCAACAACAAGAACTATACGATATATTACCTTCAACTATCCTTCTCTTTCCAGCCTGCACAGGATGGGTGGTGGTTTTGTCACATCCGAAAAAGCATGTCTGCCATAGTCAGCATCTGAAGCTAAACAGTCTTCCTCAAGGCAAAAAAACAACATAGAAAGTGCATAGTATGAAAACTGAAGGTAGGAGAATGACTCTATCTTGACATGATCGCGTGGTAAAATCACCATATATTAAAATCTATCGAACAGCATTATCGTACTTTTCCACCTTGTTTTTCATCACAAGATAATGTAAGTAAGTGCACAGTATCACCACAAGACAACCAAAACCACCAATTCCCAACCGGTCAACAGTCAGACTGTCTAGAATAGGTATTCGAAGACGAACCGCGCAATTGCGCACATCGCCTTCTGTCAAAGTTGGATCACGCAAGGGGCAGCTCCGAAGTCTGAATTGAACATATGTAACAATCTCATTCAGTCAACAGTTTAGTTCTAGCGCAAACAAAACAAACGCTACTAATTAGTCTACACTACACCACACCACACCACACCACCATTATCAACACCGACGACACCCTCCAACTCCAACTGCTGTTTCAGGTTTCAATGAAGTCAGGTCAAGTGCTTTGCCGCAGCCATGCAACTTATGTTTTTCGTTAGTCCTTTTTGGTCAAGTTTTGATGTTTTGGTGTCTTGATGACAAAAGGGATCTGATTACTAGTATCAAAGATGCGTAGAGGGAAACACTGCGCTTGCTTCGTGGAAAGCTTTTGAAGTAACTCATTTATCTAAACATCTATTAAACTATCTAGTTAAAGCTGAAACTGATGGCTAGCTGGTACATAAGTCTACCGTCCTGTGTTCAAACCCCCTATCGATTTTCCTTGATACATGAAGAATGCTTTTTCGAGAGAATGCTCGACACATTTCTAAAAAGAACGGATATAACTGCTTTTCAAGTAGAGTTGCTCCTTTCACTGCGCTAAACTTTGATATACCTGATTAGACAATGACCCCTTCCTTATATGTTTGAAAGACGTTGATATGAAACCTCACGCAATCCACCACTGACACTTTGCACCGCGCCGTACCGCTCTGTCTGCACCACATAGCATCGCATCGCATCACATTACGCCAACCACAGCATTAAATGTTACTAGACTGCTTGCTGCTGCTCTCCACCAACGACGACAAAGCACCAACTAAATGCTTCTCCCTCTTCAACACTCTCACGCCTTCTTACCACGCTTCTTAGCAGCTGGCTTCTCAGCAGCAGCCTTGCGGCCCCCCCTCTTCTTAGGCGCAGGCTTCTCCTCTTCCTGCTTTTCCTCCGCCACATCATCGGCATCAGACTCCCCCTTGACATCCTCGCCATCATCATTGTCCTCCTCGGTCTGCTGAGCATACTCCGGCTCAGACTCAGGCTCAGGCGAAGGAGCCTTCTTCGCCTTTTTGCCTTTGCCCTTGGCAGCAACCTTACCCTTCTTCTTGGGGGCTTCCTCCTCATTCTCCTCTTCTTCCTCGTCTTCGTCCTTCTCGCTGCTTGTCTCCTCCTTGATAGCGGCCTTGCGAGCTGCGCGCGGAGGTCTAGCTCTAGTGGCCCTCTTCTTGGCGACTGGCTCAGGCTTGGTCTCCTCCTCTTCATCGTTTTCCTCCTTTACGGGGGCTTCCTCAGCAACAGCCGCGATGTCTTCGGTGTCGCTCTCCTCCTTCTTCACTACGGCGGCCTTCTTGCCTCTGGCCTTGGCCTTGACAGCAGGCTTCTCCTCCTCCTCCTCCTGCTCCTCGGCATCACTTTCCTCCTTCTTGACAGCGGCGGCCTTGCCACCGGCCTTCTTGGCCTTCTTCGCAGGGGGCTTCTCCTCATCCTCCTCATCGGAATCGGCCTTCTTGCGGCCCCGCTTAGCGGCGGGCTTCTTGGCAGCAGGTTTGGTGTCCTGTTGCGGAAGCAAGTGCGCACATGTCAGCAGGAGATAACAAAATCAATAGCAACGGTGGATGAACATACCTCCTCCTTGTCCTCCTCCTTGTCCTCCTCCTTGTCTTCCTCGGACGCCTTAGCCTTCGGCTTTCTGGAGTGGATGCCTCTCTGGCCGAGCTTGTTCATCTCGGGGTCCTTTAAGAAGAAAGGTACAGTTAGCCAACGAATCACGCCCCATCAAGTGGTGGGAATTGGTGTCTGCATATACTCACGCCGTTGAAGTCCTCAGGGTCAATGTGTCCCTGGGTGATAACTCTTTGGATTTTCTCCCTCAGCACAGGGAAGTCCCTTGACGCGCAAACTGTCAGCTCATCGATATCAAAGCAAACCGCGTAAAGCAAAAATGAGGACTTACTCAAGCTCCTCCCACCCGTCAATCATATCCCAGTCATAGTTGCCAGTGCTGTCCTTATCGAGCATCTCGCGCATATTCTGGATCTGGCTGCCCGAAACACAGCCCCTAAGAAATTAAAGCAGCACACATCAGCCATCACAAGCCCACTGGTGAATCGAGGCCCAGTTCAGTTCAGTTCAGTTCAGTTCAGTTCAGTTCAGTTCAGTTCAGTTCTCATCTTACCAATGACGCCACTGCCAGCCGGCATGGTCCGGATTGAGCTCAACCCATACTCCGAGACGGAGCTCGCCCTTGGTAATCTTGACCTTCTCCTTTTTGCAGACCGAGTCCTTGCAAACGGCCCGGTTGGTCTTGGAGACCTCTGGGAGGGAGGGTTAGCGTTCGTGATATGACCAGGTATGACGGCAGAATGAGATAGGCAGTGAGGCTGCTTGTGAAGAAAGAGGGGAAGGTTATAGAAAGGGACTATGTCGGGGGAGAGGGTGCCTTGATGCCTTGTCCGTTTCGCCGTAGTTGTGAGCTTGTGTTTGGCTTTTTGATGGAGTGGTGTTGATGTCATACCGATAACGATCTAGACATGCAAAACCAAAACCTCACTGGGAAAGTTTCAAGGTGAAAAAGCCGTTAAGGCATGATGCAGAGCTTGGAAGGAACACGATCATCAGTGATCATGTCCGGTAGTAAGAACTCACCAATACGGTAAGGCATCTTGAAGAGGTATGTTGTCCTCTGCTCGGAAAGTTGGATGACGAAAGGGCAAGATGACAGACGGGCGCACAGACGAAGGTCAGATGGCCGAGTTTTCCGCACAAATTCGGAATGCGACTAGACAGAATTTCAGGGCGAACGATACTCGAAGATGGTGAGGGTGGATTGGCGTATTTGACGGCGTTTTCCGAAGGATCAAGGCGCGTTTGCTTTGGAATGGACGCGAGAAAAGACTTGTCAAGACGGCCCAGATATGGGTGGTGGGTGGATGTTCTGGCGCGGAGCGGAAGGGAGGTGAATGGGGTTTATCGCGTACAGGGGGTGGTGTTGCTAACTGTCTCCCTGCTGGTTTGCTAGAGAGGATAGAAATGACACCGTCCCCAACGACGACGACCTGGAAAAGATGCTCGTTGAAACCCTTGAAAATATTTCGCGGTGAGGAACTGTCAAGCTTTGAAATTTTTATTGTCAGTTATTTTTGACAACCAGTTGAGATTAGGGCACAAGTGATGGGCAACCAGAAACACAAAGGAAGGAGCGAGTTGGCACTTGCCATTTCAGGTTGTACTACTCGCCGAACGTGCTTGCCTATTCAGCACTGTAGCACTGGGCCGTAGTACTACATCTCGCCTTACAGCGCTATCAGCCAAAGAGCTTCAGATATCAACATGGAACTCCCGTGCTCTCTTTTCCGTTCCTTGACAATGGAAACAATTTAACTACCTCTACGCTGTCTATTTGCTATTCTCTATCCGCTCGTACAGTATCAAACTACAAGAATGGACACCATCCAATGTACATAGCCGCCAGATTCTTCGGATCTGTCGCCTGCTTAATGAGCTCCTCCACCTGACCCTCCACACCCAAGGGTATCTTCTCATGCGGCAACAATCCCCTAACCTTGCGCTTGATACTCTCCACCACGCTGGTCGGATTTAGCTTGACGACATAATGTGTCCTCTTCTTGGGCTTCTGCAGATCCAGCGTCGGGTCATGGATGAACGCCTCAAGGATCGTCATTAGCGTCTCCTCCTGTTGCCTCAACACCTTCAGCGTCAGCTCGCTGCAGTTCCGGAAGGGGCCCTCGTAGCGGTAGATGCCCATGGCAGCAATCATGTTGTGCGTCAGCCGGAAGGGCACCTTTTCCGGCTGGGCGAATGTCAGGCCCTTGTCGAACAGGCAGTTAAAGTCGACGTGGAAGACGCCGCCGTTTCCTTCCTCTAGCAACACGTTCTCGCCGTGTCGGTCGCCGAGACCGAGGATCGTACCGACCATGGACATGACGGCGCAGGAGCGCGTGTACCGCAACCGGGAGGCGAACCAAGCTGATGGGTCGGGGAATTGCGAGATGAACCATTCCGGTAGCACGTCGGGGAACATGCCGAGCACGTCTTCGGACCAGAGATGGAGGTTTTCTTCGGACGTGCACGCCTGCTTCATTAGCTCCGCGATGCGCTGGTAGTTGGGTGTGATGTTCCGCGTCTTGTAGATGCCTAGGAGGATATCGCGGAGCGTTTTCAGACCGTCCACCCATTCGATGATACCGCACTCCTCGTTCAAAGGTGTGACGGCGTACGTCCTGATGTAGAGCTGTCGTTTGCTGGATTCGGTATCGCGCTTCAACGACCGGTTGATCAATCCATTGAACTCCATAAGACGCTGGTCAGTGCGTAGATCATCCTTCGGTTTGATCAAGAGTCCATAGAGTTGCCCGTTGGATCCGCGAGCTGTCAGTTTGCGCGGCTTCGCTAGGGATCCCAGCACCAGCACATCATCAAGGAACCCGTCAATGGTGATGACGTCCCCGGAAAATGCCTTGTATTTCCTGATGTTGTCCGTCAAGGTCGGCAATGTCGCGGTGAGGCACGCCTCTATCGGCACCACCAGCGGACAGGCGTGCATTTGTGGTTGAAGTTCAAATCCTTCGTGATGCTTGCTTTCACCGTCCTGTTGCTTTGGAAATCGCCCTTGTTGCATGCTAAAAGGAGCTGCTCAGCAAGTTTCTCACTCATCTTGAGCAACTGCTTCAGATCATAGCCTGTCTTATCAACTTCTCTCCCGATGGCTCTCAAGTCGTCCAGAACTTTGTGCCCTCTGTGTCGCCTAGCACTGTTCATACGACCCGTCATAAAAGAGAAGAGACTCCAGATAGCCTGTCGAGGGTGTGCTTCCACCACCTTGATGATCATTTGCTCCAGAATCTTGAACACGTCGTTGTTCGGATGGGCTATTCTAGCCACGATTTGCGGCAAAGCCGTATAGAATATGTAAGCTGGCATCTTGGGTAGATGCTTGTTGAAATGCTTGAAAAGGTCGTGAAGGATGGCCCTCCGACGGTTTTGCAGCTCCGCGGACAACGTCACCCTGCCCAGTGACGATTCGTCGACTTGCGTCCCGAGTTCGAGCCAAAGGGTCAGAATTCGTGGCAAGGTCTGGTGAACATACTTCGTCCCAAAGTTGAGTGAGCGCAGATAATTCTCTATGACCAACTTGGCGGTTTCGCCGGTCAAGTATGCGTCGCTTTGGTCATCCGGGCTGAGCGCCTTTTCGGACTCCAAAACTTTCTTGTAGTGGCGCCCAAGATAGTAGTGTCCCTTCTCCCATTGGGGGTGGGTTTTGGCCGCCTCTTGAAACTTTGAGCGTAAAGCACCAGCATGAGTTTGGCCGGTGGAATCGAGCCACTTGGCAAGAAGCAAATGGGCTTTGGCTTTCAGTAGATTGCGATGGGACTCTTGGCTCTTACTAGATGTCGGAGTATCTATCACCATTGCACTATCGTTGTTAAAGACATCATCGTCGATGGCGCGCTGCAATAGCTGGATCGCCTTGCGATGCTGGCCGTCCTTGTAGAAGAGCTTTGCGTACTCCAAGACTGCAGAGCTATCTCCAAGCTGCTGCGCACGCAGCACGGCGTTGAAAGACTGAGATGAGTCGAACCAGATTTCTAGCCAAGCGAGCAGTGGCAAGCCATGACGACGATATCTCTTTATCTCCGAATTTAGGCCTAATGAATGGTTAGAAATGAGCTCGATAGGTTCGGGAATAAGAAAGGACACATACCTCATTAACTCCATTGCTGCTCTCCTTACCCCAAGCACATACTGCTTGTCGCTAACATAGGCGCCGAGTACCTCCAAGCGGCGTTCCAGTGCCTTCATAAGCGGGTCATGACCTTCACCCTCGACTGGTTCCGCGTTGGCAATCATCTCAAGATCTGCCAGGACGTGACACTTCAGCATCGCACCATGGCAGGTCTTGAAAGACGATGTCGCTGAAAAGGTCATGGAGCCAGCCACCTTGTCCCGCATTGCTTGCAGAAGGTCTTCGAATCTTTCTCCTTCTCCTTCCTTGAGACAGAGCAAAGCATCAGCGATGCCGATGTTGAAGATATCGGTTACGTCGCCCTCAGTGTACGACCGTAGATACTTCTCCATGATCTGCCATCTGCCAGTCGCCCACGACGCTTCGAGAACGAAAGGCATTACCTTGCCCAGGCTACTCGGTGTCTTCTCGATTCCTTCAGCAAAACTCAGAAGGTTATCTGGACGCAATGTTAGCTCCGTATCATCCGCTCAAAAGATAGCCGAGGTCACTCACCATACTGGCCTGATTCCTCCAGGCAGGTCAAGAGGTCGAGCTGAAGATTGACATCATCTGGCGATTCAGCCAACTGTATCTCATACCAGGTCTGTGCAGCAGTCCATCGGCCCGCTTTGCGATGACTGAGAGCCTGCTCCTTAAACCCGAGGTCTTTCATGCATGCAGAGATACCATCCAGTCCGTCAGGATCATCGATCTGGGTATAGATGTCGTGCACCGATCGCATAAGACGAGTTGCTTCGTCACCTATGGCCTGGTGTCTGCGGCTTTCAATGTGTGGCTCCAGGAACAAAAGAGCGCGAGCATATTGCCCACAGTCGATCGCTCGCCGAGCAACAAGTTCTGGATCAAGGGAAGAAAGCACGCCCTCGACCAAGGGACACCACCTCGCATCTATGTCCCGGGGTACTGACTGAGACTTTTTGATGTGCAGCCAGTTTTTGAAGTAGTCAAGGATCCGGAACACGGCCTAATTTGGTCAGTAACCGGTAAATAACAGGCAGGAGAGCGTGTACGTACCTCATAGCAAAGTTTGACTTCCTCTTTCTCGGAGTATGTGGCGGTTTCCGGCGGTTGATACTCCAAAATGGTCTTCAGCTCAGCCGTTACTTTTTCCCTCCATTCTGGGCCTTTTGACTTGTTGTTGCGGGCCTCGGCGGCGCCCAACCCACTCTGCCCCTCGAGCATCTGGCTCTCTTCTAATTCCTTGGCAGTGTGTTCTTCCTCTATCACGGCGTGTAGCACCACATAAGGCAACAGGAACTCGCTGACAGAAGGATCCTGGACCTTAATAAGTCGACAGAGAGGCGGAAAGAGGATCCGACTGTTGGCATTCTGTGGGTTGCGAAGAAGATCGAGAACAAACGTTTTCAGCCAGCTCTCATATGATTTCTGGGGGTCGAAAACCGGGTATTTGGTTTCCTGCATATTCATTCCAGACGAAACGACAAACTCGGATGTCAAAAATGGCGTCAAAATCTCCTTGGTTATGTCCTTGAAATTCCGCCATCTGTCGTATAATATCTTTTGTTGGCCCTGTCCCTCAGTCTTGTAGGCCACATTCATGCCCGTCCTGGCCAGGAGCTCCTGCATCGCATAAGAAAGGAAGCTCAGAAACTTGGTGTCTGTAGTGGAAAGGAAAGCCTTGACGAGAACGTTCTCCAGCATGAAACACACAAAGTCCGATGTTTCTCTGACATCTAAGAAGTTGTGACTGACGACAAATCGCTTCTGTTTTCGATTGTTGTCTATGCGGTTCGAATCAAGGCACCCAATGATACCCATGCACTCGGCGCAAAGGCGCATGATTCCAGGCTGCCAACCATTGTATTTGGCCGCACAATCGAGAACGGATCGTGTAAGTTGCGGAATGAACGATTTGGGTTGTTCAGTGAGAGCGGACGCTTGAATATAGGCTTGATGTTGCCGCAATAACTCGAGGAGCTCGGTCAAAGCCTGTTCAATAACGCCTGGATGCTCGTGTCTCAGTCGTCTGCGAAACGTGCTGAAAAGCTCTTGACGAGTAAATTTTGACCCTGGCAGTAGATCCAGACGCTTGCGGTGTTCAGCCAAGTCAGGGAGGTGATTGAAAGTCGTCATCGAGGCCGTTGCCTCCACGAGATCATCCCTATTTGTCTGATAAAGGGCGTTGAGGACTACCTGAGCCTGTTGCTTGGTACTCTCGTCGAAGCATGTCCAGTGATGTGTGATCACCCAGAGCGTGATGTCAAGCAAGTTTGGCACATCCGTCTCGTCCATGTGCAAAAGCATGACCGACCAGCACGCAAAGGCATCAGAGCGAAGCTCGTCGCAGCCAAGTGCAGAAAGCAAACATGCCGATATCTGTGAGCAGAGCGCGGTCAGTATACATGTTGCAGGGCCGGGCTCACTGATCCAGAGCAGCATACCTGTGACCGAGCGGTTGATACAGATGATCGACAAGCCCTGATCATTTCTTCCATTGCTTTGATGCATCGTCGTCTCTCTGGGACAGGAGCATCGATATCTGTTATGCGCTCACTTATCGACCCTACCAGCCCGAGTGTATGCTTTTCTAAGAAGCGCTTAAGGATATGTGATGGCTCGGATCCCTGCTCTTCTGTAGGTAAATTCAAAGCTGCCAAGATACTTAAACCTCTGCGTATCTGCCTATTTGTTAGCCGTCGATTTTTACATATCAGTGCACAAAACTTACCAGTGCCTTCTTGTTTTCATCAGCCCCGCCACTAGCTTTAAAAAGCTCGAACAATGTTTCGCTGGTTCAGGTCTCAAGATGTCGGCGAATCGCCGGCGTACAGACGCCGGCCGTTTCTCATCGGGGTCCTCATCAGGATCGGGCTTGTCGAATTTGGGGGATATCGCGCTGAGCAGTGCCATTGGCATGTTCTTCGACGTTCGGAACATCCTGGATCAAGAGAAGAGCAACGATCGGGTGATAGTTGGCACTGTCAATGCAAGGCTGCCATATTGATTCATCGCCCCGGGCTTTGGCGATTTTCGTGATTACACCTATGTTCCTTGCCAATACCAGCCATGGGAGAGCGTGTTTTTGTAACAGGCAAAGAAGTTCTCGGACTCTGAGCTGCAAAATTTCTGCAACCAACCTCGTGGTCTGCGGTGCCGAAACCGAGTCCTTGACCACCAGGACCGCCATGTTCTCCCAGTATGGCGCAAACAGCTGCAGGGGCGTTATTCCACGATACGTTGCGATGTTGAGGATTTCGTTAACAGCCATAGCAGAGACAACCGAGTTGTTGTATCCCAAATACTCAACGAGCTTGATCAGAATCAGGTTAAGGTGGTCGGAAGATACAACTCTTCCCGCTTGGCCCCAAGCCAGAATGCAAGTTTCGTGCAAGTGAAGAGCGTCCTCGTTGGTTATTAACTTAAGGATGTCAAGGATATTGCCTTGGTTGCATGTGACGACAGCACGGTCAGATTCCGTACCATCCGCCTCATTTAACAGAACGGCAAGTGTTCGACCAGCAGCGATACGGAGTTCTCGTATAGAACTGCGTAGTGATTGGACACACCACTGTCCAAGTACCGACAGTTCTAGATCGCGGAACTCAGGAAGGACGGTATGCCGCAACATGCGTTGTAAACGCACCATCGTGTACACACGAGGGCGCCTAGAACCACGGAAGCTGGGACTCTTGACAAGCTTCTCCAGGATCTTGTAGGCAGTTCTCTTTGTAACGGCATCGTCACATGCTTGCGTAAAGGCTGAATATCCGAATATGGAGCAATGGGAACATTTTAAAGAGGCCAACGAGGAGCCCGATGAGTCCGGACCATAATCTTCGAGTCCCAGCGTATTATCGGTAGCGCACGGGACAAAGGAAATGAGCTCAATAACTCGACATTGTTGAAGTGTTGTCAGCTTGGGGAAGGCACCACTATACTTGTTAGTATGAAAAGAAGCAAGGCCTGCCTTCTACTCGGCCAACTCACATTAGGCTATCTTCTAGAGACGAAATGTCTTCGGAGGTTGGCAGGTTAGCTACACGGCATATTTCTTCGACGATGTCGGCTGATAATGATTGGTGCTCCACAATTTTCCTTCGTTTAGGTGCTGGTTCAGCGTCCTCGACAACAGAATCGAAGCCCAACTGTTCGACTTGGTGACGAAGGGTGTCGTCAGCGAATTTACTGGAATTGAGTTCTTTAGGAACCTGGGAAGAAGAAGTCTCCGCAGACACTGCCTGCTGAAGGAACATGGCTGACCTCTGAATGAATGTTAGCACCAATCAAACCAAAAGGGGATATTTCTGGGGTACCAACCCATAGGTCTGAGTTAGGAAGGCTAGCTGTAGTGAAATTAACGGCAGGGATGACTACTCGGGATTCGATCAACTGAATCAAAGACCTGTGGTTATCTGCTTCCTTGACGAGATGGAGCAAAGCCAAAGAGAGTGTCTGCCTCATAGCCAGCCCAAACTCGTCTTCGCCAAGATATTGCTCCGATCTATCTAGTACCTCGCCGCATAGCAACGCAAGGGCGGATATCGCTTTTGGGCGTAGAGTGTCGTCCGCGGCTTCGGCTAGGTCTATAGCAGTCTGAACATAGGGTGCTAGACTTATCTTCAGTTGTGTCGACCAGTCTACCAAAACAGAGAAGAGCGGCTGAAACACGTCCATCATCCAAGCAATGTTTTCGCGGTACAGCAGTGGGGGCTCGGCACCCCCCGCGGGCAGAATTGATGTCTTGAGGATGTGGAAAAGGCTGATGGCGTGGCGGATAGCATGTTCGGAATCCCGAATGGTGTAGGAGAACTTGGACGGAATATCTGCATCGGCGAGGTCCAAGGCTCGAAGAAACGTCTCCGGCGGAAGTTGAATGTCGAGGGTAGGGGATATGTCGGTAACCTGGCTCGATTGGAAATGCTCAAGTATGGCTGGCGCAACACATTGACATTAGCGATTAGTCTACCTGATCAGATGGGTCTCGTCGCTAATGCTTACCGCGCAAGCTTGCTTGAAAATACTGAAGCAAGAGTGGCCCAAGATCCCAGAGGGGCACATGTTCAGCAATGGTTTGCAAAGTAAAGTGGAAGAAGTCCTCAACGGCAGAGGTAATACCAAGTACCTTAGCACGACCCAGAAGCGCAAGCAACCTGGGTAGGAACCATAGCCACAGCGGTTCCTGGCCGCGTAGCAAGAACTCATTTCCATCGGTAGTCCGGTTCAGCACATCCGGGGTCTCTTGGACGGCAAGCTTGAGAAGACTAATGGTGTTCTGAGCCTTGAGCTGCAAGCGGGCGAAATTCGCGAATGGGTCGTCGGTTTTGACAACATCAAGGACAGGTCCAGCGCAGACATAGAAGAGGATGTGATTGTAGGCAAGCCGTTCTTCATGTGTCTTTTCCAGATCCGAACCAGCCTTGTCTTTTTCCTTCTCGATAATGGTGCACAACCGCTTGATCTCGGTGATCTCGTCAGGTTTCGTACGTTGAGATTCCTTTGGGAGGCCTCCGACAAGCTCCGCGGCTAGAGTGGGCGGCGGCGGTGCCGAGCCGGGCTGGGTTTGGACGTCCTCAGTGACGCTCTCCTCAAGAGCGCCTCCCTTGACTGTTTTGCCATGGACTCCGGACGCCATGTTCAATCGACATCTTTGGTGGAAATTGATGGGCGGCGACAACCTAGGACCAGGACCAAGGTACAATGGGGAAAAAGAAAGACCCTGTGGGTCGTATGGAATGGTCAGAGAACAGAAGTTAGGGTTCTGCAACGGAGATATGTGATAAGGTGGGATGTTAGGTGCAGCCGCATGTAACGTGGACGAAGCCTAGAAACGCGACTTCTCGGACAAACGCGAGGCGGGGCTAAACGGGCAATCACGTGCAAGTGACCTTTAAGAAAGGCACATGCCAAGCCCATTATGAAAAGGGGTTCGTTCAGGGGTGTTCAACGGGCAGCACTTGACAGTTCTCCACAGTATACCGTATCTCTCAAGACAGCAGGTCGAAACTCGACATTGTGATGATATTTTTGATCAACTGCTTCGATTAGTGGTCTAATAATTAGGCGCTTATTCGTTATGATATCCCAAGAATCATGGACAAAGAATTATCTGCTATACAAATTGATGCAGTCCTCCCGAACGGCCGGCTACGTAGGTACGTAGGTAGTTTATGCGCTGCTCAGCAGCTTCTCTACTGCCCACTGGGACTGAAAAGTTCCTGAGATCAGAATAATGCTGGCCAACACCAACGAACAGAACAGGGACGTTCGTGGCGTGGACGATGCTGACAATTGTGCCCACCATGTCTCCTACTGTGTCGCACTTGGAGATGATAAAACCGTCCAAAGACCGGCCAGCTCCGAACGAGGCATTGAAATTCTTAGCCTGAGCCACGGAGTCGGTACCGACGAGTGCCTGTTGCGAAGCCATAGGGTCAGCATCAAAAAACGATAAGTTGAAGAGTAGTCCATAGGGCAGCATGGGAATGCTTCTTACCTCGCCAACCATCAGAATCTTGTCAGGTTGCGCAAACTTGGCAAACTTCTCAAGCGAAGACATTAGCCGTTGGTCGTTATGCCTACGACCGGCTGTGTCAATCAACACCACGTCGAAGCCCTCCTGGGCAGCAAATGTGACGGCATCCTTGGCCACTGCGGCGGCATCCTTGCCGTATCCCTTTTGGTACAATTCAACCTTGCCGCCTTCTCTTTGAGTGAGTTCCTTGAGGTTGCGAACATGCACCGCCAACTGCTCAACGGCACCCGAGCGGAATGTGTCGCCTGCCGCGATCAGCACCTTGTACTTGTTTTGCAAGAGGAAGAAGCAGATCTTCGACAGGTTGGTCGATTTGCCGACACCGTTGACACCAACAATGGACATGACATAGGGTCGCGCCTTGCGCAGGGACGTGGCTGGTGGTGATGTGATGGAGTCAATCTCGCGGAGAAGGTCCAACGAGGATGTAGGCGTAAGCATTTTGGTCAGCGAGACCTCCATAGCCTTTTGTATCCTGGTGTTAATGCCTGGCAAACGTTGTCAGCTCTCTGCAATCGCAAATTGGAGCGCATGAAAAACCGAACTTACTCTCGAAGCTTCCTGTCTTGACACCGATAAGCTCCTTCTCAACTCCTTCGCAAAGGCGCACAGCAGCCTCGCGCGCAACATTCTTCTTCAACAAATGCTCTTCCATGCCCTTCATGGTCTTATCCAAGTCCTCCTTTGTCAGGACCTTGCCGCCCACCACGTTCCTGAAAAGACCTCCAATCGCACTGAGGCCGGTTCCCACCAGACCAGCTGGAGCATTCTTGGAGGCGGAGTTCTTGGCTTCCGCAGACGCGAGAATTGAGTGAACCTCGTCGCCCAGGTCTCTGAGAACAAACTTGCCCCTCGTGGTTGAACCCCATGTTGAGGCATCCACCTCCTCAACGGCCGGTCGCCTTCCTGCTTCACCTTCACTATCGCTTGTGGCTTTGGAGGCAGAGAAATCAAGTTGAACATCATCCCCCTCGTCAGCAAGACCGTCCGCATCCCACTTTCTCCCCTTCTTGGCGGCCTTGGCCTTGGCCCTTTTGACAGACGCTTCATCCCCCGAAGAAGCAGGCGCAGAGTTGGTGTTCTGTAGCTTTCTCGCTCTTCTCGACATCTTGGCCCCTGGTCCTGGCTTTGCCACCAAGAGATGGCTTGCTACAGCAGGAGTGGTGGGCCGCGATGCGTTCGGCGATGTATCGAAGTCCGAATCGCCCTGCTTGCTTGTGTTGATGTTGCTCGGAACACGGCCGCCTCGCACAAGGCCAGGTAGCGGCGGGGGCATGTCGCCTTCATCTGACAAAGTTTCATCGTGGAATGCGAGAAGGTCTTTCGAGTCTGTTTTACTGCCCGTCTTCTCGAGTTCTTGCAGTTGTTGATCGAAGTAGTTATCGAACTTGGCGCATTGGATAAGCGTAACGTTCGGCTTCTTGAGCTGGTCGCCGTAGAGGTTCACGAAGATGGTCCGGATGTTGTCAACGAGCTTATCGATCCATGATAGGTGTAGGAGTGATCTGTAAACCGCCTTCGCATCATGATGTCAGCAAGTGGCCATGAAGGGTTGAAAAGAACACATAAGTGAATGAGTTGCGCATACAACAAAGATAATACCCAGTTCCTTCTCGAATGACCAGCGCAGTGTGTGTTGGTCATATTTGTAGGGCGGGTTGGCCGACGCAGAAGCGCCATCCTTGGTACCGGCAACGGCGCTCTTCTCCTCAATGAACACGTCGGAAATGAAGTTGTTGACCACAGCAGGACTGACGGCGGCGTATGTCCTCGACCATAGCACCACCCCTGACGTCGTCAGGATCTCGAAGGTGTCCAACATGGTTCGTCTAAAAATTCCCCGTTTCGAACTGCTAAGGTGGTATAACGGGTATAAGTAGCACTCCTTGGTGTCAATTGGCGTTCGAAGGAGTGCGAATTGTGTCAAAGAGGAAGAGTCCGAGGAAAGAGTAAAAAGTTGGAAAGGGGCGGAAGCACTTTGAGTCCAGTCCAAGACCAAGACTCAACGAACCTATGCAGGTGGAAGCCAAACTGTCATAATGGCCCGCCACTGCATCGGCGTGGGACAGGGCGCCGCGCTTCTGGAACACGCTGGAGCAAGGTGGGGCTGTTGGACTTGTTGGTGGATAGGGCGCCGATAAGATGTCATCAGGCCATTGGCAAGGCAGGCGGTCGAGTGCCAAGGCCGGCCAGGGGTCGCGCTGTCGTCGGCTTGGGAAGTCAAGTGGGGTCTACGGGGTTCTAAGCTGCCTGAGGGTGTTGCTGTCTGGTAATGGATGACAGCATCTCCAGATTCAACGAGCCACATCGCATCTCCCCGATAGAGCTGCCTCGCAAAGCCACGCCAACACCCGACGAGCAGCGCCATACCGACCTCCTAGCATCACGGACTTCATACCAATCAACCCGCGGAAAGAGTCCTAAGACCGCGACTAATACGCAACATTTCCCTTCCACTTCATACACAACATCAACCGACAGAATGCAGCGATCCGGCTACGGGCAATCGCCCCCTTTACACCACCCTGTCCCGCAACACGTCTCAACCGTGCCCCAACTACGATCACCGCCGCCGCCCACGTCGCAACCTCAATCGGGCTATGATGGAAGCCCTTACCAACAGCAAGGGCGGGCGCCGTCAGGAAACATGTTCGGCCAGTACGGAAACTTCATAAACGACCCGGCCGCGCAGTTGGCCTCGCAGTTCGGACAGACGGCTTTCAAGCAGGGACAGGAATACCTCGAGCAGAATGTGAGGATACCGCGGGTTTTGGCTGTCAGGGAGGGAGACGTATGCTAACGCGAGGCGCTACAGGTCAACCGCTTTGTCAGTGTCTCGGCGCTTAAACACTACTTCAACGTCACCAACTCCTACGTAATAAACAAGCTATTCCTTGTCCTGTTTCCCTGGAGGCATAAGCCCTGGTCCCGCAAGCAGACAGTCAGCCCCGGCGGCCAGGAAGGGTGGTACCTGCCTCCCAGGGACGACATCAACAGCCCCGACATGTATATCCCGGTCATGTCTCTGGTCACCTACATCTTTCTCCAGACCCTCATCGCCGGTCTTGGTGGTGCGTTCAAGCCGGAACTGTTCGGATACGTTGCGACAACTGCGCTAGTGGTGGTTGTTGTTGAAATTCTGGGCTTGAAGCTGGGATGTTACCTCCTGAGCATCTCCAACGAATCGCAGCTTTTGGACCTCGTCGCGTACTCTGGGTACAAGTTTGTTGGCGTTATTGTCACCATCTCTATTGCCGAGATTGCCAATGGCGGCAAGGGAACCGGTGGTATGATCGGCTGGACCGTCTTTGCTTACACTTTCTTCGCGAATGCGCTTTTCTTGGTATGTCGCCCTGCCCTTTGGTTTTGGGCTGGGATCGTTTACTAACCCGCCTTGCTTAGATGCGCTCCTTGAAATACGTCCTTCTGCCCGAGAACAACAACAACGCCCAGGGTCCTATGCAAACCATGCCCACCGAGGGTCGGGCAAAGAGATCGCAGAGGCTCCAGTTCCTCTTCTTCTACGCCTACATCGTGCAGCTCTTTTTCATGTGGATTCTGAGCCGGCCATGAAGTTGACGCTCGGCGAACTCACGGGTGTATAGACAAAATATTGCAAAAGATAATTGCTGGAGAACGAGAAGAAGCCTCGGTATAGCGAGTGATGCATGGTAAACATGGTCACTGCAGCTTCAGCCATTCACAGCTAGTATGATGATGAGAGACGGCGTCCGCGTAGTAAGATGTCTAATGAGGGTCGGTAGAATAGTCCAAAAGAAGTCCCGGTTATATACCAACGAGGTTAGGTACCATGCCGGATATAACCGGGGTGTCACCACATTCATGTAATGGAAAGGGGGAGGTTGATAAGACGACCCCGAATATCAAACGCGGGTGACATTGGACCAAACACTTGGGCCTACCTACCTAAATGGGCATGGCTATAGTTGAACACAACATCTCGCTTGATAGGACGTCTCCGAGTTCATCAGCTGTTGGTTCGCATACTAATAGGCGAGCAATCCCCCAACATCTAGTCGACGTGATGGGTGAACTCTTTAAGGCAGTTGTGGACACATGTACATACTTTAAGCTGTTTTCCAGTTATTTCTTGCAAAATGATCAAATATCTTGGTCTGCTCCTCGATCTCATCTTCCTCATGTTTGAAGTCATTGGCCGAGCTGCATTCTTTCTCGTCATCGGTTGGGTAAGTTCGTTCGTTGTCGTTTTATCTAATCTGGTTTTGTGCTGTGTTGCCCAACCGGTGGGGCATCTGGCGCTATGCTATGCTAGTCGTCCCGTCTAGTACTTACCGTCACCTTGGCTACACTTTATTAGTTTCCGATCTCCTCCAAAAAAGCCACATACATATATTTTACAACTAGTCCTCCAACCTCCTCACAATTTACTCATATTTCATTCCGCCATACCTCGACTCAAATTGTTCTGCAAAGTTGGTTCACCTACTAAACCCTTCCAACAGCAGGAACCTCCCCCATCATCTCAAAATGCCCAAGCAAGCAGCAGCAGCAGCTCCCGCAAAGAAAGATGATAACGAGCTATCGCCTATCGTCAAAGCCACGCTACAAGCGTCAGTCATTGCGGGAATATCAAACGTTCTCGCCCAGGCCATCAGTGCCTACAAAGATGGTGTATGTTTGAAAAACTCCTGTTCCACGGCTCACACTCGCATTCATCATGGAAGCAATGACGTAATGCTACATATATGGAGATATCGATGCTGACAATGAACTTTTGACTCCCGTCTTACCAGACGCCTTTGGTGATTGACTGGGTTCCTGTGTTCCAGTTCTTCCTGTTTGGTGTGATTTCCACGCCTCCCAATTTCTTGTGGTAAGTTCCGAGTTCGTTGATGGTGGACGGCCCGGGGGAGTCAGAATGGTCAACTACCTTCGGAGATCAAACCTCCAACAAACCTCTCCATATCTCATCATTCATCAGGTATCAACTATTCTAGTTCATCACAACCAGAAACCTAACACTCCCCCCAGGCAAGGCCTCCTCGAAAGCACTTTCCCCTCGCACCACCTCGCCCCCACGCCCACCGCCATCGACTCGGCCTCCCGCTCCGACGAAAAGTCGCTCGACGACTCGGCCACCCTCGGCACGCTCGTCGAACCGCGTCTCAACAAACTCAACACCTTCATGAAATGGTTCCTCGACCAGACCCTGGGGGCCGCCGTCAACACCCTGCTCTTCAGCATGTTCATGCACGGCACGCAGTCCGCCATGGAGCACCGGGCCGCTTCCTCCTTCGGCACTGACCCCTCTCAGAGTCTGTGGTTCTTGATCGACGGAATCACGAAGGGCAACGCGATCCAGTACCACTCGGTTAACTGGAACTGGGTGTGGGAGGAGTCCAAGAGGGAGTTTGTGGACCTGGTGCTGGCCAGCTGGAAGTTTTGGCCGTTTGTGAGTATTGTTAATTTTGCGGTTCTGAAAACGGTGGCGGCAAGGAGTTTGGCGGGAAATCTTGCGGGCATTGCGTGGGGGGTTTATATGAGTTTGTTTGCTTCTGCGCAGTAAGGACTCAGAGGAAGAGGATGGAGGGGGGGAGAAGGGGATTACGCGGGGAGGTGGAAGGTTATGATCGTTCATGAGGTTATGTTATGATGGCATTGGCATAATGAGGGGTGGTAAGGAGAAGAGGAAGGAAGACGGCCTTTCGAGGTTAAGGATGGGTGCTTGGAATAGGGGGCTGTTCACAGTAATGAAAACAGAATTATCAGGTTAACTGCTCTTGCCGAAGCAAGGCATCTGGAGACTTGCTGTACCGTGATTCTCATCTGATACGGTATATCGGGTAGTACCACGAAGTGTCCTTTGATTGTCACTATTATGTTCTGCGGAATGGGTAGCTTGAAGAAAGAATGGTCGGGAAGCACAATGGGCATGATATTGGTCAGACACTGTTACAAGTAGGAAGCATCTACGGCGGGTCAATGTATGTTTGTGCCTGGCCATGCTTTCTTATTACAGTGAAACGGTTCGAAAATGGAGGTTTGATCCAGGTCATGATGCTCCTTCGCAGTGTTTCGACCAGTTTTCATGGTCTACAATCAGCTATAATATTGAATACAGCTCTATCTACGATGTCGGACTGCCATTTGTTTTCTAGGTTCTCGTGTCCGGATGGCGAGCAGGGACATTTTTATGTTCCATGGAAATGGAATGCCCGAGGGTGAGTCTTAAGTCTGCGTACCTAACAGGAACATATGTCCTTACGAATTTCTTTTCCTACGATCTTTTACTCCACACTATCAAGGTAAAGCACAAGCATTATCAGAATAATCTTGGATATTTTGCCATTTCAACTCCTCGAAAGATCGACGAAATCAAGGTTTCCAACGAAACTACAAGCATAAAAGGTGTGATTCCCACAAGAAAGTGAAAGGCAAGGGGTAGTCAAGAAGAAAAGCGTTTCAGTCGCACAGATGCTAGTCAGCAAAGCACAACGAGAAGCACCAGTACCTAGAGACCGTTCGGGCGTTTCAAGCAAATGATATTTCCTTCCATCAATTCCCCATCAAATTCCCTATCAAATATTCCATCAAATTATCGAAGAAATAAGAAATATTGTACGAAAATTAAGACACATCTGATCTCCCTCTAACAAAAAATAGCCATCAAACATTAAGGACGTCTTCGTTCATGGCATATGTTGTTCCTCAAAAAAAGATTTCGCTGATATACTGCCTGCCTGCCTGCCTGCCTGCCTGCCTGCTTGCTTGCTTGCTGGTGTGGTGTGGTGTGGTGCAATCGCCGCCGCACTCGCACTCAAATTACACGCTTAGCCTTTCCTATATTGCTAAGCTTCTTTTCTCGTCTTTCTTCTTTTTCTCACTCATCGGGCAGATCCGGCCGGTGGATGCTCATCATCATCAAGGTGACTGTCGTCGAAGTTTTTCTTCCTCCAATCCGCCATGCTTTCGCCTTAGACCGGGAGTACCGTCGCCTTTCCTAGGAGGAGCTGAGGTAGGAGTGCCGAGTCCTTCAAAGTCGAACGCGTTGCTGTGTCGGTAGTTCTTGCTGTTAGCTTCCCAACGGCTCCGTAACGTCTCGAGTTCGCTGGTCAGGTGATCGAGCGCGACGCTATCTCTGGCGTCGGGACCGGGCCCGTATATACTTTCGGCTTCGCTGGACTCGTGCCGGGCATGTCCTATTCCATTCGGAGGACCGATGGGCGTCATCGCGGCCCCGATCGTTTCGTTCGGAACTTGCCGGCTGCGTCTGCGGTAGTTGTCGACGCTCATCTCTACTTGATCAAGCAGTGTGCTGACTTTCTGCTCCGCATCGCGGGCGCGGCGCTCCAAAAGGGCGTTCTCGTGCTGTAACTCCTCGAGGTCCTTCTTGGTCGCTTCAAGACGACGGCTGGCGTCCTCGCTGGAGTGAGCCGCTGAATCGCGTTCCCGGCGGACATCTTGAAGCTCTTCACGAAGGGACTTCAGCTGTTGATCGAGTTGAGATGCCGTCCTCTGTAGCTCAGCTTGAAGCTCGCTGACTTGCCCTTGCAACGATGCACGCTCAGCCTCCCAATCAGCAGGCGTGCCGCTGTCACCATTTTCGCCTCCGACCTTGTCTTCCAGCTCAACAACCTGTTCCTTAAGCCGAGAGTTCTCCGTCTTATAGCGTGTCAACTGCTCCTTAAGCTGCTTCAACATCTTCTCGGTACCCTTGACATAGTGCACGGCTGACTGGTAGTCATTATCGAGCTGGGCAAGCTTGTCACGATACGTCGTCTCCGCTTCCTGCGCTTGCTTAGCCGCTGCCGCCTTTGTTTCCTCGTGCGTTGCTTGTGCGGCGGAAAGCTGTTGTTCCAGTTCGCGCAAACGCATGTCCTTGTGCTCCGGGGTACCATCACGTGAGCTGCCGAGTCGGCTATGGCGGTTTACGCTGGTGGGTGAAATACCACGTTCAGTGAGGATATCCTTGAGCGTGTTGTGTTGCACCAGGACGGCATTGGTTTCCAGTTGTTGCTTGGCTAGTTGCTGCTTGAGATCCGAGTTGGCGGCCTGAAGAGATTGAGTTTCTCTTAGGCAACTCTGCAGTTGCCTGCGGATCGAGACGCCCTCACGACTGGCTTGTTCTTGGTAGGCCTCAAGTCCAGCAATGCGTTCCTCTGCACCCCGAAGTTTATCCGAGGCAGAATCAGCCTCCTGCTGGTACTTCCTCACCAGGGCATTAGCGGCGCTTAGCTGGCCTTGAAGGGCAGATGTGCGGTCGATGTCGCCCTTGGCGAGGTTATGGTTCTCCATTGTCGACACCTTGTCCAAGCCGGCGAGTACAGCTTGACGGTGGACACGCGCCTCATTGGCATGGCGTTCGGCTCGTTCTTCGGCGTCTCTCAGGCGCTGAGTAACATTAGCTAATTCAGCAGCCTGGACCTCACGCTCAGCCTTGAGCTTGTTCAATGTTGCCTCAATGTCCTCCCGGAGTGCACGCTCTTCATCAAGCTTCCTTTCCAGCGTCTCTCTCATTTCAGTTGTTGCAGCTACCGCTTCCCGCAGGGACTGGAATGTCTCGACGCTTTGCTTAGAGTTACCGACAGCCTCGTTATACTTGTTTTCCAGTTCATCCTTCTCAAGACGGAGCATTTGCGCTGTAGATTCAAATTCCGAGGCGGCGACTTCAGCCTCTCTTGCCTGCCGTTGTAGCATATGCAATTCAGCCTTGAGTTGCTCTACCTCGCCGGAATTCCTCTGCTTATAGTGCTCCAGGTCCGCCATCCTCTTCTGAGCAGCACTGGCCGTATCATCGGCCAGTTTTCTGGCCTTCTTCTCGGCATCAAGGTCGATTTTTAGGCGATCTACTTGGTCCTGTAGCTCTTTCTGGACATTCAAGGCGTGGGCAAGCTTCCTGCTCATCTCACCCACACGGTCGCTCCCATCCTTATCGGTATCGAGCTGGGGTGTGCTCCTGGCGCTTCCTCCCTGCGCTGCAAGTTTTGCCTTGGCATAAATCGCTTCCTGGATGGCAACATCTCGTTGCCGCTCGGCCTCGGCAATTTGCTTAGCAGCAAGAACCGCCTGCTTGTCTACTGAGCTCTGTACGTTGGCAAGTTCAGTGCGCATGGCAAGCAAAGCTTCAATCAAAGGCCTGTCCTCGTCGTCAAATGTCTCCGCCGCTCGTTGATCTAGTGCTGGGCTCATCGAGGCGGTGGGCACATAACCGGCTTTACGTGCCAACTCCAACTCCGAAGCATACCAGGCATTACGATTCCTTGCTGCGTCTAGCTCCTTCAAAAGTACCACTGTTTGCGAGTTCCGCTGCGATGACCTTCGGTTGACAGAATTGCTGTTCAGCCTGGTAGTAGGAGCCGGTGGAGAAGCCGGACGAGTAGCCGATGTTGCCACTTGCTTCAGGGTTGCATCCGTTGAGCTATCGACCGATCCTTGTGTGCGGGCTTGCTTCAGAGGCTTGGACTTGGGCGTTTCAGCAGCAGGGGGCTCCGCCTGCCTTGACGCAGATGATGCCGAGCGTGGTGTGTTTTGAGTTGGTGTTTGTCTTCCTACAGAACCTGAACTCTCGCTTTGGGTGACAACCGGGGCTTGTTGAATAATCGGGGATTGTGCAGGAGAGCCCTGATGGGAGTCCGCCCTGCTGTCTGCGGAGGCGTTCCTTGCTCGGGCGACTGCTGGGTTCACACCTGGCCTTGGGGGTTGGCCTTGAGGGGGAGGGCCGGCTGGACCCATCGGAGGACCGGATCTCATAGGTTTATTAGGAGGCCCATGAGGAGACCCATTAGGAGGCCCATGAGTGGGACCTCGTGGTCCCGCCTGGTCCATCGGATTTGGGGGCCTCTGAATCCGTTCTGCGGGTTAGTGGTGCCAGCCTCCCCAGGTGGTCCGACTAATCGTCTCTGATTAGGGGGACCCGAAGAACCGTCTCGAGGTGGGAAGTTCTGGTTCAAAGATGGAGGAGTTGCGTTACTTGGCCGCCTTGCCGCGTTCCTTGGAGCACCAGGATTGCCTGCGGAATCAGTTGGGTATCGGATCTTTGTCGTGTCTAGACAGTAAACCAAGGCGAGGTCATTAACAGCTGCCGTAGCAGAGCTTGGCTCTCCACCCACAACCACAATGGTCTTGCCAACTGCCGTCATGCTATGACCGGATCGAGGGAGGGCGAAGGGCCCATGTTCTGGAACGTATACCAGCGGCGAGAGGTGATCCGAAAAGCTGCCAAGTCACCGAGATCCGCTCCTTCCTCGGTACGGCCTCCAAAGATATACATGACATCGTCAACAATGGCAGCGGCATGACCCTCGCGCGGTACGGGGATATATCCGATACAGTCGAGCATAGTCCAGACATTAGTTGTCGGGTCGTAGCACCAAACGTCGTTGAACCATTGGAAACCGTTCGTACCTCCGAACCTGGAATTTGGTTAGTATCTGCCAACAGTAACCCGGCAGATGGGTTAGACTTACAAGTACATCTTATCGTTGAAAGTGATCATGGAATGATTTGTCCTAGCAGGAGGAGCCTTCCCCTGTGGAGGAGTTCCAGGCTCTGTGGTGGCTATCAGCATATCCCAGCGGTTGTTGGGCATCTGTAACTGGTTCAAATCGAAAGCAGCCAAGTCATTCATGAAGTATCCTTCTACCTGGCCACCGAAGACGTAGATCTTGGATCCTAGAATATTAAGAGTATGTCCATATCTACCCGCAGGTCGTGGACCGGCCGGCAGAGCTCTTGACCATTGTCGCGTGGCTAAAACTGGTTAGCGAAAACTTTCTTGATGAGGAAATATCCAGCGATAGGGATCCTACAGGTATTTAGGAGGTATAGCGTCTCATCGAGGACGTCGGACTCATCGATTTTGGTGTCTCCGCCGAACACAATGAACGCGTTTCCGACTAGCAAACTTGCGTGTCCAACCCTTGGACCTGGGCCCTCTGCCGTCGTCGCAAGGGGGTAGCAGGCCATGCTCCCACCAGCTTCAATCATCCATAGGTCACCTCTGACCATCGAGCTGTTGATCAAGCCGCCCATCACATAGATATCGCCCTCTTTAGACGATACCGAATTGACAGCGGCGCCATATCGGGGAAAGGGGCTCGGTTGCGACGTCGTATACGTTAACCTCCTTTGCGACCATGGGTAAAGCGAAGCGTTGGGGTTTGCCATTGGCATCGGGTTCGGGTTTGCGCCATTGCGAAACTATGGATTGAAAGTGTTAGGATGATTCATCGCATGTAGACCAAGCCTGGCGCAAAACAATATGACTACAATTTGATCTGTAGAACTGGTAAACATGGCTTACAGGAAGATCACTAGGCGGCTGTTGCTGCGGGTCCCGGGACTGCATCTGCGAGGGCGCTTGTTGTTGCTGTTGCTGTTGTTGATGTTGATGCTGCCCTTCCAGGGTCTGGCCTCGTGGGCGGCCATAGTTCTGTTGCTCTGGGCTGCCTACGCTGCCGTCATTGTCGAGGGAGTTCAAGCTGCCGGTAGGTGTTGATCGGGAACCCTTCTCGTCCCTGACGCGGGCTGTCGCGCTCTGAGTTGACGATACCGATCCCGATGCTGGACCATCTCGGCTGCCTAGCCCTCTATCGTGATTCTTTTTGGACTTGAAAAGAAACGCCATGTTCTGGTCTCTGGGGCTGCCCTTGGGGGGCAGCGGCGACAAGTTGCTTTCGCCGAGGGCTTCAGGTCGTCGGAAAAGATGGGTCGAAGGGGGAAGTCGTCGAGATTGGTGTTCGTCTTTACACACTCGTCTGGTAGTGACTTGGGAGCTTTGGGCGTCCCACAGCGGTCGCACGGGGCAAGTGGGCGACTCTCGGGTCCGGAAGGGAGGTGGTACCTGTGGCCGTGACCGTGACCGTGACCGTGACCGTGACCGTACCGTGACAGCGAGCAGCGGGAGGTCGAGCGCGCGCGTAGTAGCAGACGCTTCCGATTAACTAGGAGGCTCGTGCTGGGAGAACCTGAAGGAAAGCACACCAGGAACACCAAAGACACCGGACCAGCGTAACCGTGAACCGTAAACCGTGACAAAGCTCACTGACGCGGACGGGGAGGGAGTTGAAGGCTCGTCGAGTTTGGAGATGGCTGGGG